GACAGTGTCATCGAAGCAACCAACATGAATTTGACACAACTCCGGGAGGCGGTGGAAGATAGAAGGGCCTGGCGTGCTCTGGTCCATGGGGTCATGAAGAGTCGGACACGACTAAACGACTGAACAGAACAGATAATCCAGTCACCAGATTTTTTTTTAAATTACCACAATAAAGGGCCATACTATACTCTGTGAGAGATGCATGAAGTTTTGAACGCAGTAGTTATCTGGTGATCAGTGTGGGAAGCCTTGATGCCACCTACCGATTCTTCAAGTGCCACCTGTGATGAGTTTGTACCTTCTCTTTTCCAGCCTGGTTTCAAAAAGAGAGAAAGTTGAGACCAAGCATTTGCAGAGATAGTATTCATCTTCTAATGCTGTTTGTTAAAAAGAAAAGAAGAAGAAAAAGGGGGGCTTGCTTGTAGTCTGGACTGCTGCTGATTTTTTAAAAAAATACTCCCTTTTTAAAGCAAATCAGTGTGATAGGCTGATTTGCTGATGAATATGCAGGAACAAGATTAGATACGGTTTTTGCTATACTGGTGGCAGATAAGAACAAAAACAGATAGAGTATCAGTTATTGGGCTACCTACCTCCCATGAATGAAGAAATGTGTAGGCTTTTAGTTCGTCTCACCTTTTTCCAGGCTCAGGCAGTGTTTATAAAGAACTGTGATGTCACACCTCTATCTCAGGTGCTTGTAGATAAAGCATATTGTGTAGTTGCTTTACTTCATTCATGCATTTTTACTGGGTAGTGGAGGTATAACTTTCATTTATAATCTTTAATTTATACCCTTTTGATTATTCCCCACTGCTTCTTTCTACTTTATCACACAACTTTAGATAAGGAATGACATACAGTATCCAAGAACATGCCATCTTTCAAAAAAGCATCCTTTGCCATCAATAATGCAGCAAGCAGGATGGTATCAATTGATCCATAGAGTTTACCCACTTCATGATGCCATTTGCAGTTACTAAACATGATCAAGAAGAGACTGTTTTTTCTGTAGTTGTGTATTATGCTACTGCCGCTCATCTCTTTTCCTCTGGTCCTGTTTCTTCAGAAGCTGGCAGAGAAAAACATTCAATTTTTGGTCTTTTCTGCATGTTCTCCAAGGGACGATCCTCTTCCAGGCAAACTGCTGGATTCCCCTGCAGTAGTTGAGAAGCCTTTAGGCTTTGAATTCTGGAGGGGTATCTGGCTGCCGGGATGGGTGACTGGTCTGGAATGCTTCTAATTCCAGAAGAGCTTTGTTGATTCTGCTTATTGTGGGGTATGGAGTAAGATCTACTTTATATCTGCCAAGAGAAATTAAGAATTAGACATGGAACGAACAGCAGTTAATACAACAGTATATTTTGAGAATATTTCCCAGCACTGCAACTTTACCTACAGAGAAATAATCCTAACAGGCAGTGTACAAACATCACTGTTAATCACCAGTACAGGACTGCATACCATCTTTCAGGCTACATAGTGATTCCTTTGTAAAAGCAGGCACTATAATCTTCTCACCTCAACTTGGAGGTGTGCTTTACTCCAATGATACACTGACTATGAGATGGTACAGAGTGGTAGAATATACCAGATGGGCGGGATATAAATCGAATAAATAAATAAATAAAATAAAATATCCCAAAGATTAGGCAGATCACTGCCATGAAGGGGGAGGAAGAGAAGAAAACATAGACACAGTTATGAAGAGTGGGATGGTTCAGGAAACATTTTAAAGGTTTGGGCAGCAGCAAGTACTGATAGAAACAAAGCTGGGACTTGAAAAACGAAACACTGGCAAAACAGAACCTTGGTAGATTGGACACCAGAGACTGATGTGACAATCAACTAGGAGCAAACTCCATCAGAAGAATAAAGAGTATGAAATGCAGGTGTCTGTGTGTGTGTAACTGATACATCAAAGAGGGCAGAGAATAAAACAAACTAGGGATCTTTAAAGGGGCAGATTCCTTTACAGAACTGCCATGAGTGGCAACACTGGGCTCCAAGCTTAACTTTGTACTAAGAACATACAATTGTCCTTTCACAAAATTGCTCAGGGTTATACAGAGATCATGCAAGTGAAAGGATAGTATTTATTTGTTTAGCCTTGGGTTATGATAAATCAACTTTTACCTCCAAACATAGGAGAACACTGCATTTTTGTAGCCCAAAACAACTAAGGTTCTGGAAACTCGGCAGCACACCTACAATTTCTAAGTTGTCTGTTACGGCATGGAGTTGCCCATGTATGAGTTTGCCTGTGACCTGGGTCACTGGGATGACACGAATTGCCTCATTCAGCCATGTAGCAAGAGGAACTCAATTTTGCTTACCTCTCTGCATTGTATACTTGGGGAACCAAGCATAAGTCAGCCATGGTCACCTACAGAAAAGCAAAGACAAATGTAAGAAGAAGAAGAAAGAAGAATTTATCGGTTTTTGGCAAGAGTTCAAGTCTTGCATTTCCGTTGTTCCAGTAGCTTTGCAGCAGCCTATCCTGATTCCTCAGGGTGTGCTGAGCCCTGTGGCCCATTTGTCACCAGGTGCTGAGCCCCGTGGCCCACTTGTCACCAGATGCCATGGGGCTGTAGCATCTGACACGGTCCTTGTTGATCTGGGAGATGACATAATTGATGATTGGTGGACACCATTGGTCTGGCTTCTCAGCTGAGATCTGTCTGACTTGAGATACCCTTTGGCCTATCTCTCAACCTCATTGAAGCACACAAGTCCCTCCATCTCAAGATCTTCGGCCTATCTCTCAACCTCACTGAAGCACACAAGTCCCTCCATCTCAAGATATTTAGGTTTTTGGTTAAAACTTGTATCTGTTATATAATACCAGTCAATGTTTTTATAATTTTAATTGACTGTGCCTTGTATTTTTAAACAAGAACAAGAACAAGAACAACAACAATAATAATCAGAAGCCCTGCCAGTGGAGTCCAAAACCTGCTTTCAGATGAGAGTGGATTTAAAACCTTAGTCTTCTATAAATGTTACTAACAGTGGTGATTTTCGAAACCTATGGTTGAGAGAATAACTTTCTACCTTTTCCACTCTATAGAAGGCATATATCACTTTAACAGTGATAAAGAGAAATAGATGAGGGAATACAGCAGATCAAGTAATATCATGCAAAATGCTGTAATTGGCCTCGGTAACAAACTGTTTAAAAATGAGTTGTTTTAATGTTATGGAAACATGAGCAATTTTTCATTAATATTTTAGATACATGACTCAACAGCATTCAATAATGACCATCAAAGCACTATTATCAGTAGGTGGTGCTATTGCTTTACTGAACTGTACTATAACTGCTGGTTAATTCCAATGCCACTTCAAGGTTCTTAAAATGAATGAGAAACTGGAGTGGATGGGGGGAAACAGTGACTCCGGAGGTAGTTGTCTGGGTAACATCATTACTTGGGTCAATTATATAAATAATTGAGTCAGAACTTGAACAAACTGCTCAAAACTAAACTATTATATACTAAGTATATCATAGAAATAGAAACAGAAAATTGTGGCACCTTAAAGAGCAAAGGATTTTTTTTACTGTGAACTTTCCTGCATTATTGTCTACTTCACTGGCCACAAGAAGGTTGTTTTGTGTCTTTTTATCTTTGCTATCTATGTTGAAGCAGATGAAAATGGCTACCTCATCAAAAAATTTTATGCTTTAGTTATAGATATATCAGCTGGTATCTCATCAGGAATATCTAGGATCAGTTAGAAGAAATAAGAATTCAGTATATGAAGTGATTATACAAATCCTCAGAGTAAACGTGAAGCTGGACCCAAGCATGATGTTCTACATGATGACCCCCACGGGCCGAAAAATGCTCTGGAGCCAGTATCTGGGTAGTAGAAAAATGAGAAAAAGTAGTTTCTAAAGATTTTGCCTGTGGAATGGTGGATTTAGCAGGCTGGGTCTTTGGCACTATGCAAGAGGGGAAAAAATCACAGCTTTCCTGGACCTGTGAAATCTAGGAGACTCCTTATTGGCAATGTCAGTCCTCAGCCCTTCCTAATTCTGAACCGTCTTGCTCTTGGGGCCGAGACTTTTAGTTTAGAATGATTTTACCTCATTCCCAACACAGTATCTTCCAGCGGTGTCCTGCAGGATCTGCTCCAGAGCTGCAAGAAAAGAAAATGATATCACTGTCAAAAACGTGGACTTTTATTTCAGTATAAGGATTTAAAAGACAGATTGCTGAATTCCTTCTTACAGTAGTCTAATGAAGGAATAAGAAAATGTGAAGCAGTCCCTACAGACTTTGGAGTTTGGTGTGGGGAGTAAAAAAAAACACCACCATGTGGGCTGAAAGATATGAATACTAATGGAGAAACAATTACTGTTAGCAAAATGAGAACATAAGAAAATCCTTACTGAATTTTACAAAAGGCCTACCTAGCGGAGAATCCTGCCTCCCACAGTGACCAGTAAGATGCCTCTGGGAATCCACAAGCCAAAAAAACTAACAGAGCAGTTTCCCTCACCTAAAGTTCACCAGGAGCTGATATACAGAGACATAGTACTAGTGATCCTGGAGACGGCATCTAGCCATCATAACTGATTTCTACTGATAGCTTTATTTCCCATCAGCTTGTTTAAAACCTTTAAAAAAATCTCATCTAGATTGGTGGACATTCTTGGAAGTGATTAGGTGAAACTCCATTTACACTCAGTAATTTATTTATTTATTTATTGGATTTCTATCCCACCCAGACCAAAGGTCTACTCTGGGCGGTTTACAAATTTGAAAACAATAAAACAAAAAACATATATATCTAAGTTGGCCACTAAGACATATTAAGATATGGCAGGAGGGAAAGCTTGCCCAAATAGCCAGGTTTTAAGCCTGTTCCTGAAAACACCCAGAGAGGGAGCCTGGTGGATTTCTACTGGCAAGTTGTTCCAATGGCAAGGGGCCATTGCCGAGAAGGCCCTGTTCCTTGTTCTTTCCTTCTGGACCTGCCTCAGCGTTAGACCGCTCAGCCTGGCTGGAACAAGTGACTGGCAGAACAAGAAGATGCATGTCTTTACATGGGTAAGAGAGAGCCTCCTTAGGTTTATTAGACTGTCCTTAAACTGCTCTGACCTGTACCGACCTTTTAACCTTAGACTGCCATTTGTACAGTACACGATAGTGCTTCCTTCTCACATCTTTCTCTTCTCCTTTCAAGGAAGAGACATTTCCCCTTTGTCCTCTAGAAATGGAAGGGACATGACTCCTGACTTCTCCAGTTTAGTTCTTAGAACTACAACAATTATCAGCTTTCCTGTCACAAAGTGTACTTCTTCACTTAAACATACACATTGGATAGAAGTGTGGATGTGATTCCTTGACAAAAGGAGAAATGTGTTCAGACAATTGTTCTGTTTCTCAAAGAACTGAAACCACAAGTTGCGCCTCAGCGTTAGACCGCTCAGCCTGGCTGGAACAAGTGACTGGCAGAACAAGAAGATGCATGTCTTTACATGGGTAAGAGAGAGCCTCCTTAGGTTTATTAGACTGTCCTTAAACTGCTCTGACCTGTACCGACCTTTTAACCTTAGACTGCCATTTGTACAGTACACGATAGTGCTTCCTTCTCACATCTTTCTCTTCTCCTTTCAAGGAAGAGACATTTCCCCTTTGTCCTCTAGAAATGGAAGGGACATGACTCCTGACTTCTCCAGTTTAGTTCTTAGAACTACAACAATTATCAGCTTTCCTGTCACAAAGTGTACTTCTTCACTTAAACATACACATTCTTTTTGTCTTTGAAAGAAAGTGTGGATGTGATTCCTTAACAAAGGGGGAAATGTGTTCAGATAATCGCTCCGTTTCTCAAAGAACTGAAACCACAAGTTGCTCCTGTGTCCTTGTGTGCTTACTATCCAACAGACATCACCACATTCAGAAATTCCCTACTTCACGACCTCTTGAAATATTCCATTCTGCTGCACTGTTCCACTCCGAGGCTCCCTTGCAGTATATAAGAGGATACAGATTGTTCCTAAAAGCTCCTGCCATGTTAACTGATAATTTAAATTCAAATGAAAATATTATCCTTGGTCTCACCTTTGAAGCCACGAGAAATACAGTGCTGTGCCCAGTCTAGTTTTTTTTCTCCCATTTGCTGCAGGACACTTAAATTCTGAGAAATGTAAGAAGAGTCAGCAGGTCAGATTGTCAAATAGTTTCAAAGTCCCAGTTGTGTACAGTTTTACAGTCATTGAAAACAATTCAAGCCCTTCAGCAATTATAGCGGAATGTGAAAGCGCATCCATGGATATTGATGGCAGCATCACATCATTTTGAGCATTATGAAAACTTAGTCATTTGCGATGCTGTTGGCCTTTATCCTAGCACTTTCTTCATGAGTTTCATTTATGTCCTATAGCTTGGAAATAATGTGCTAAATACTAATGCATAATACTAATTTGATGAAGAGTTTTGAACAATGAAGGGAAAGGACATCATATTATGCTTTTAACTTAACCATGTTCATTATCATTATTTCTTTCTGGAATACATGGAAAGCAAGTGTTGATGCTAATTCTTCTGCTCCAGTCTCCCATTAGTGATATGACCTGACAAGCTATTTGAAGTTGTATGATTTTGCATTAGAATTATCTCTCATTTGCAGTCCTGTAATGTTTTGTATGTACAGAAACCCTGATGTGCAGACTGGCAAGATTTTGTAAAGCCAAAGGGTACTGGTGGGCAGACTCTTTACTGTTTCTTTAAAAAGTAAGAGCATAACTATTAAAAATGTAATAAAGATTTCCACATTTGTTGTTAACAGTACTGAATTATTTTTCCAAGGGTCACTAACAATGACCAAAATTGGTTGTTGTGGGTTTTTCGGGCTCTTTGGGCGTGTTCTGAAGGTTGTAGGTACTGGTGGTCAGACTGTTTACTGTTTTTTTAAAATTTTAATAAAGATTTCCATATTTGCTGTTAACAGTATTGAATTATTTTTCCAAGGGTTACTAACAATGACCAAAATTAATTTTTAAACTAATATGCCAAGCTATGCTGTTAAGTACAAAGGACAACCTTAATGACCAAAATTAATTAATTTTTAAACTAATATGCCAAGCTATGCTGTTAAGTACAAAGGACAACCTTATCTGGTCATATCAGGTTACCTTTACCCTTTGGCAGCTGGGCAAATTTACTGCAGCAAAACTGCATGGAAGTTGTGCAGGAGTGGGGGGAAGGGTTTTGACTAGCATGAGTCAACAAAGTCTTCTCTTTTGCCCAAGACCCTATCTTGTTCATTTTCCAGTGTTTTGGAGTTCTGAAAGCAGTGATATTGAGAAGGCAAACTAAAATACAATAGAGAGGTTAGGAGTTATCAGTAACACTACCTGATCTGTGTGCGCAGGAATTTACTGTTTTTATCCTGTCGTCATCAGTAATAGCTGATCACTGTTCTGTTACCGGCCTTGAAAGCCTTCGCAAATACAATGACCAAAATTAATTAATTTTTAAACTAATATGCCAAGCTATGCTGTTTAGTACAAAGGACAACCTTATCTGGTCATATCAGGTTACCTTTACCCTTTGGCAGCTGGGCAAATTTACTGCAGCAAAACTGCACGAAGTTGTGCAGGAGTGGGGGGGAAGGGTTTTGACTAGCCTGAGTTAACAAAGTCTTCTCTTTTGCCCAAGACCCTATCTTGTTCATTTTCCAGTGTTTTGGAGTTCTGAAAGCAGTGATATTGAGAAGGCAAACTAAAATACAATAGAGAGATCAGGAATTATCAGTGTGCGCAGGAATTTACTGTTTTTATCCTGTCATCATCAGTAATAGCTGATCACTGTTAAGGGTGAACAGATAGCCTTAGTGAGAGGATAATTACCTGCAAGGGTTGGATTCCAGAAGCAATGTGATCTGAGATCATCCGGACCTGAGCTCTTTTCTTTGGATCTTGAGGCAGGATCCTTGGGTTTGGCCGTGTCTCCTCCAGATACTCTATTATGGCCAACTGTGAAAAGCAGAAAAACCTTTAGACAAGGATGCTCTTGGGAGGCATTTAAAAGGGGAAAACAGGACTGGACCTGCTCATGTGACTCCTGAATAATCTCTGCCTGTCAGTGGATTCTGTATAAAGAATGATTCCTATGCCACCGAATCAATGATATAATAAACCTTGATGGGGGTCATACAAGAAACCACATCTTTAAAATGGGATAATCTCTGTCTGTCAGTGGATTCTGTATAAAGAATTATTCCTGTGCCACCGAATCAATGATATAATAAACCTTGATGGGGGTCATACAAGAAACCACATCTTTAAAATGGGTTAGATTTCCAATCAAGGAGTAGGAACAATTGTATGAAGAAGGAGGAGGTCTTTTTAAAAAGACCCTCCTATTCTATGTGAGGTAGCTTCTCTGCTAGCAGATCCCAAGCATGATCCTAAAAACAGGCTACTCAGTATAAAGTGCAAAGTCATTTGCCTCGGCATCAGAACCAAGTAAATAATTAAAAGCAACTCTTTACTTACAGACTGTAACAGGGTAACACCATCTATTTTGAGGACGGGGACTTGTTGCATTGGATTCATTGCTTGGAACTCAGAAGACAGCTGTGGAGACAAGATTATCCATGAGATGTTTGGGTTTTCTACCAAAGCCTAGAAGAGTAAACCTTTCCTCTTGGGGCGGGGGAGCCAGGGAAACAAGGAGCTCAGGGGCATGGCAACTACCATTCTTGTTACACCACTCTTGGATGTGAATGCTTCCCCTACCACAGACTGCACGCTTCACCATGGGTTCCACTGATAAGGAAATTCTGCTCCCTCCATGACACATTGCAGGTGGACCTAAAGTACTGTATGTCCTCTTACAACACACAGCTTGCAAATGGACAGGGTGCAGTCATCATATGGCCACTCGGAAGATCTCCAGTGTTTTGGGACTGATGGGCGTACAATTGATTTGGCATTAATCAGGAGTTAACAAAGAGTGGCCAAGCACTGATTTTGCCCCCAAACCCAATAAAGATGTACTCTGAAGGGCCATAGAGGGAAATGCTACCACCACATGGCTGACCCCAGGGAGTGTAAAGCAGGCCTACCTACTTTGCACTTGTCATAGATGTACAAAAATTCCTGAAGGATCAGACCAAAAGCCTATCTAACATATTCTTCTGGATCATGGCCAACCAGAGACCTCTAGGAAGCCTCCAAACAGAATATGAAGGCAACAGACTGGCCTGCTGCTATGCCTCGGCAGCTGGTTAGGAGAATGTTCTCATTTCTTTTATATTCCTTTAAGACTCTAAAATCTTCCAGGTCAGTGAACATGAACCCTTAAGTAAGAGACACCTGCTGTTTCAAAAGAAAATCTTACTTCAGGTAAAACGGATCCCTGGAAGATCTCTGGAGGAACAGCTCCTAAATTCTTAGCAACAGCCTCTAATTGTTGCAATTCAAGACATCACATAGGCCCCATCTGCCCTACTCCACAAACTTGAACACAATCATCTTACCTGTTGCCCTCCATCCTTCACCAGATTTACAGGTGTCTGATCATAGGCAATTCCTTTCAGAGCCAGCGCTATCAAAAAGAAGGCAATACAGTTACCTACTCCAGTACTCATTTACTCATAATTTAAACAAGAACCTGAAAATGCCCCTTTTTTGCTTCATAGTTCCCAAACCCATCCTCAACAAGGCTTTTTTTTTGGGGGGGGGAGTGGGATTCTGGGAGCTGTAGTCATAGTGAAGTAACATTTCTAAGCTGTGCAAAACTACCTCTTAACAGCAAGCATGCACTGTATGAGGATAATGTTTAAAAATATTTACATATAATTCTGTTACTTCCCTGTTTTATACCGTTTAGCTTCCCTGTGTATACTCCTCTAGCTTTCCTCGTGGGAAAAGTTGCACCCAATTAAAGAGGTACATCTCTTCTCATACAATAAATTGACAAAAGTCTCATGCTTTCTCTGTCTTTGTCCCAATCTTCTTCCACTCTCTTTTCTTTATTCTATTATAAAGTGTAGAATGTGCAGTTTTACCTCTATACCTTCTCACCTTCAATACTTTCATTTTATCTTCTCTTAAATACTTCATAATCCCATTGTAAGCCCCTCTTTAGAACATGTTCTCTGGCATGCTATGTTCAGTTTGCTGTACATCAAAGCATACTGATGTGATTTCACACACTAAAGCATTATTTATAAAGAAAATAGAAACTTGAGGTTTATAGCAAAGGGAAAGAGCAAAAAAATACTCATGTTGAGCAAGGGAAAAGAGTGAAATACATTTAAAATGGAGGTCGAGATGTGGAGTGCTACCCTAAAAGTGAGTTGACTTGTAAGCAATGAATGGTGTAGTCACATAATGTAGTACCGGTAATAGTACCAGCTGAAACACCAGAAATAGTATAATACTATAAAATCATTAATAAGTCTTGCTCTGCATAATCTACATTGACTGATGGATTTCAGCACTACTTGGTCATGACACAGACTAAAATGGGCCTGGAAGACACAGATGCTTTAATACCGAATTATGGTTCTTTCTTAAAGGTGTGGCTGCTCCATTCTTTACTGCAAGCCTTCATCTGGAAATTGTCACTTCTCAAAGTAAAACGATAATTCAATCATAACACAAAACAATAAGAGAGACACTAAACTGCTTCTCAGTGTCCAATGACTGGGAGGCAATTATTCATCTAACATTTTCTGTATTCTTTTTGGTTGTATGATATAAATGCCTCTATTAGCCAGTGCTAACCTTGTTTATTTTGCTAAATTATGATAAACTACAGTGTCTCTCTCCTGTTTTGTTTGACATTAACTCTTATTTAGAGGCATGCTATCTCTGATCCTGTAAGTATCATAGAGCCATTATGGCTAGCAGCCAGACGTTGAGCTGGATAAATGCATTAGTAAAGCGGCTATCATGTTCTCTAGACTCACAAAGAGTGTATGGCTCAATAAGAAGCTGACGACATATACCAAGATCCAGGTCTATAGAGCCTGTGTCCTGAGCACACTCCTGTACTGCAGTGAGTCCTGGACCCTTTGTTCATGACAGGAGAGGAAGCTGAACACCTTCCATATGCGTTGTCTCCCACGCATTTTTGGTATCACCTGGAAGGACAACATTCCATATAGAGTAGTCCTAGATCGAGCTGGAATTTTTACAATGTATACATTACTGAAACAGCGACATCTACATTGGCTTGGGCATGTCGTTAGAGTGGCTGATGGTCAGATTCCAAAATATCTCCTATATGGAGAATGAGTGCAGGGAAAAAGCCATCGCCCCAGAGGGAAACCACAGCTGCAATACAAGAATATCTGCAAACGGGATCTGAAGGCCTTAGGAATGGACCTCAACAGATGGGAAACATTGACATCTGAGTGTTCCGCCTGGAGGCAGGTGGTGCATCATGGCCTCTCCCAATTTGAAGAGTCCCTTGTCCAGCAGGCCGAGGCAAAGAGGCAGTACAAAAGCAGCAAAATCAGGGAGTGGGACAGGGGATAGATTGTATTTGTCTTCAGTTTGGAAGGGATTGTCACTCTCGAATTGGCCTTCTCAACCACAATAGATGCTATTCCAAGTCCTCCATACAGAGCACATTATATTTCTCTTGAGACTGAAGGATGCCTAATCTAACAGTGGTGGGCAAAGAATAGCCTTTTGTCACTATGAAAACATCTGGTCCATTAAAAAGAGCCAATCTCTTCTTGTCTGCACCTTTTGTCCACCCCAGCATACCTTTACACCTAAGAAATTGGGACTTTTGCATCAACACAGGTCTTTCTGAGTATGGAGAAGATCTGTCTGTCAGTGGATTCTGTATAAAGAATTATTCCTGTGCCACCGAATCAATGATATAATAAACCTTGATGGGGGTCATACAAGAAACCACATCTTTAAAATGGGTTAGATTTCCAATCAAGGAGTAGGAACAATTGTATGAAGAAGGAGGAGGTCTTTTTAAAAAGACCCTCCTATTCTATGTGAGGTAGCTTCTCTGCTAGCAGATCCCAAGCATGATCCTAAAAACAGGCTACTCAGTATAAAGTGCAAAGCAAGTACCAAGTAAATAATTAAAAGCAACTCTTTACTTACAGACTGTAACAGGGTAACACCATCTATTTTGAGGACGGGGACTTGTTGCATTGGATTCATTGCTTGGAATTCAGAAGATAGCTGTGGAGACAAGATCATCCATGAGATGTTTGGGTTTTCTACCAAAGCCTAGAAGAGTAAACCTCTCCTCTTGGGGGTGGGGTGGGGGGAAGCCAGGGAAACAAGGAGCTCAGGGGCATGGCAACTACCATTCTTGTTACACCACTCTTGGATGTGAATGCTCCCCCTACCACAGACTGCACGCTTCACCATGGGTTCCACTGATAAGGAAATTCTGCTCCCTCCATGACACATTGCAGGTGGACCTAAAGTACTGTATGTCCTCTTACAACACACAGCTTGCAAATGGACAGGGTGCAGTCATCATATGGCCACTCGGAAGATCTCCAGTGTTTTGGGACTGATGGGCGTACAATTGATTTGGCATTAATCAGGAGTTAACAAAGAGTGGCCAAGCACTGATTTTGCCCCCAAACCCAATAAAGATGTACTCTGAAGGGCCATAGAGGGAAATGCTACCACCACATGGCTGACCCCAGGGAGTGTAAAGCAGGCCTACCTACTTTGCACTTGTCATAGATGTACAAAAATTCCTGAAGGATCAGACCAAAAGCCTATCTAACATATTCTTCTGGATCATGGCCAACCAGAGACCTCTAGGAAGCCTCCAAACAGAATATGAAGGCAACAGACTGGCCTGCTGCTATGCCTCGGCAGCTGGTTAGGAGAATGTTCTCATTTCTTTTATATTCCTTTAAGACTCTAAAATCTTCCAGGTCAGTGAACATGAACCCTTAAGTAAGAGACACCTGCTGTTTCAAAAGAAAATCTTACTTCAGGTAAAACGGATCCCTGGAAGATCTCTGGAGGAACAGCTCCTAAATTCTTAGCAACAGCCTCTAATTGTTGCAATTCAAGACATCACATAGGCCCCATCTGCCCTACTCCACAAACGTGAACACAATCATCTTACCTGTTGCCCTCCATCCTTCACCAGATTTACAGGTGTCTGATCATAGGCAATTCCTTTCAGAGCCAGCGCTATCAAAAAGAAGGCAATACAGTTACCTACTCCAGTACTCATTTACTCATAATTTAAACAAGAACCTGAAAATGCCCCTTTTTTGCTTCATAGTTCCCAAACCCATCCTCAACAAGGCTTTTTTTTTGGGGGGGGGAGTGGGATTCTGGGAGCTGTAGTCATAGTGAAGTAACATTTCTAAGCTGTGCAAAACTACCTCTTAACAGCAAGCATGCACTGTATGAGGATAATGTTTAAAAATATTTACATATAATTCTGTTACTTCCCTGTTTTATACCGTTTAGCTTCCCTGTGTATACTCCTCTAGCTTTCCTCGTGGGAAAAGTTGCACCCAATTAAAGAGGTACATCTCTTCTCATACAATAAATTGACAAAAGTCTCATGCTTTCTCTGTCTTTGTCCCAATCTTCTTCCACTCTCTTTTCTTTATTCTATTATAAAGTGTAGAATGTGCAGTTTTACCTCTATACCTTCTCACCTTCAATACTTTCATTTTATCTTCTCTTAAATACTTCATAATCCCATTGTAAGCCCCTCTTTAGAACATGTTCTCTGGCATGCTATGTTCAGTTTGCTGTACATCAAAGCATACTGATGTGATTTCACACACTAAAGCATTATTTATAAAGAAAATAGAAACTTGAGGTTTATAGCAAAGGGAAAGAGCAAAAAAATACTCATGTTGAGCAAGGGAAAAGAGTGAAATACATTTAAAATGGAGGTCGAGATGTGGAGTGCTACCCTAAAAGTGAGTTGACTTGTAAGCAATGAATGGTGTAGTCACATAATGTAGTACCGGTAATAGTACCAGCTGAAACACCAGAAATAGTATAATACTATAAAATCATTAATAAGTCTTGCTCTGCATAATCTACATTGACTGATGGATTTCAGCACTACTTGGTCATGACACAGACTAAAATGGGCCTGGAAGACACAGATGCTTTAATACCGAATTATGGCTCTTTCTTAAAGGTGTGGCTGCTCCATTCTTTACTGCAAGCCTTCATCTGGAAATTGTCACTTCTCAAAGTAAAACGATAATTCAATCATAACACAAAACAATAAGAGAGACACTAAACTGCTTCTCAGTGTCCAATGACTGGGAGGCAATTATTCATCTAACATTTTCTGTATTCTTTTTGGTTGTATGATATAAATGCCTCTATTAGCCAGTGCTAACCTTGTTTATTTTGCTAAATTATGTTATGTTAATAGTTTCAGTTCCTTGAACTCTCAACCTTAAGGGTACCTCTTAAATCTCTAGGGTGCATATAAAAATACAGCAACTGCCAACATCTGGATTGTGAGTTGTTTTAATACAAAACATATATTTCTATTTAATCTTAGAACAGCGATATAAAGAGGATCAACCAGAAAGATAAGCAGTCACATAAAAATCCTTCAGAATACAGAAACATGTGGAAACTTATAGATTCTGCAGATTATAATAGGAATAACTATGGCCTACATCACAAATATGCCACTATAAGCAGAGAGGTCACTATAAATGAGAATTGATGGGACGGCACATGATTATAAGCAGTTATTTTAAATAGCTTTTTAAAAATGCTACATGCAGTGCATAATTGGTTAAAGGAATTAATTTGCACCTTCTTTGTGAATCAGGTGAGGGACCGGTGGCCCTTCAGATGTTTGACTAAATCCCACCAGCCCTGATCAGCATAGCCAATGATCAGCAATGGTGGGAGCTGCAGTTTAATAACATCTGGAGTGCAAACATTCTTCGTTTCTGGTATAAATCATGTATTATAGTGATACATATTGCATACTTGGGCTGTAGCCTTTTGGTCAGTTGCCTGTTTCCATTTTGAAGTGTGGAAACCCTAGCTATCCTCTGTATGCCCAAGAGCTGCCTTCATCCTGCACAAATTCACAAAGATATTTGCTTCCATTACTCAACATAAAGAAGGCATTGCAGCCTTTATCCATATTTACCTGAGAAAAAGCCCTGCAGCACATAATGGAACTTATTTTTGAGCAGACATTCATGGGAATATTCTGTCAATCCCCATAATCAATTTGTCCCCCAGTTATATTTTTCACTACTGTACTCTGGAATTTAATCAGTTACTGATAAACAGAATGTTAAGTGAAAGGCTCTGAGTATCATAGAGAGAAAGTTTCAATAGTTGTTCTTACCAATTCGCACCCTCCAAGAGCAGGAACTTCTGAAATAGGTATATAGAACTGGCTGGGGGGGGGGGAGAGAAGTGTTAAATATTGCAGTTTTAACAGACTAACTTTGAAGTACAAATACTGAAAACATAGATATACATATAATGGAGGCAGCTTAGTTTTGAGATACAAAGTAAATATGGCATTGTAGTTTTGCATGCTATTCTTGTGAAAACAGAATTATCTCACTGCATGGTGGATACAGTTTTGCCTCAGATATTCCTATTATCAACCTTCCCCAATCTGGACTACAACTCCCATTATCTCCATACTGGTTGAGGTGAGCCCACTGTGTGTTAAAAGAACACGTTGACCTAATAGAGTAACAGTTCCCCAGCTTTCATAAACTTGCTTTTTTTCTCTTACCTTTCCAGAGGCCTCCATACTGAGCGTACACGTTGTCTCTCCAGAAACAAAGCTAGCTCAGAAAGTATTGAAAAGTGAGTGGGGAAGAAAGGGAGGAACCTCCCTTGCAACCAATGAAAAAAGTTTCACAATCCCACCCTTTAGCTGTCAGATGGCAGAGGAGTTAAAAAAAGAGCTGTGCAGATCTCATTCCTCAGTATTTTCAGTCTCAGATATTAGATAAAGGGGGCAGACGAATCACAGTGTTTCTACACAAAATGAACACATGTTTTGGATAGAACAAAAGACAAGCAGTGCCTGTACGCTTAAGTGTGCCACGTTTACACTATTGGTTCCATATTTAGGTTTTTGCAAGATTCAGAATCTCTTGGAAAAGGCTGGAGAATAAAGTCAAGTACCATAAGAAAAGCTTCACTGGATCAGACCATAGGCCGTCCCTAATACACTACCATGCATTTGTCATAGCAGAGAAGCAGAGGTTTCTGCCAAGGCACAAGCAAGATAATAGATAAACTGCAGTGTCCCTCTCCTGTTGTTGTTTGACATTAACTCTTATTTAGAGGCATGCTATCTCTGATCCTGTATCATACAGCCATTATGGCTAGCAGCCAGATGTCGAGCTGGATAAATGCATTAGCAAAGCAGCTACCATGTTCTCTAGACTCACAAAGAAAGTATGGCTCAGTAAAAAGCTGACGGCATACACCAAAATCCAGGTCTATACAGCCTGTGTCCTGAGCACACTCCTGTACTGCAGTGAGTCCTGGACCCTTTGTTCATGACAGGAGAGGAAGCTGAACACCTTCCATATGCGTTGTCTCCCACGCATTTTTGGTATCACCTGGAAGGACAACATTCCATATAGAGTAGTCCTAGATCGAGCTGGAATTTTTACAATGTATACATTACTGAAACAGCGACATCTACATTGGCTTGGGCATGTCGTTAGAGTGGCTGATGGTCAGATTCCAAAATATCTCCTATATGGAGAATGAGTGCAGGGAAATCGCCCCAGAGGGAAACCACAGCTGCAATACAAGAATATCTGCAAACGGGATCTGAAGGCCTTAGGAATGGACCTCAACAGATGGGAAACATTGACATCTGAGTGTTCCGCCTGGAGGCAGGTGGTGCATCATGGCCTCTCCCAATTTGAAGAGTCCCTTGTCCAGCAGGCCGAGGCAAAGAGGCAGTACAAAAGCAGCAAAATCAGGGAGTGGGACAGGGGATAGATTGTATTTGTCTTCAGTTTGGAAGGGATTGTCACTCTCGAATTGGCCTTCTCAACCACAATAGATGCTATTCCAAGTCCTCCATACAGAGCACATTATATTTCTCTTGAGACTGAAGGATGCCTAATCTAACAGTGGTGGGCAAAGAATAGCCTTTTGTCACTATGAAAACATCTGGTCCATTAAAAAGAGCCAATCTCTTCTTGTCTGCACCTTTTGTCCACCCCAGCATACCTTTACACCTAAGAAATTGGGACTTTTGCATCAACACAGGTCTTTCTGAGTATGGAGAAGAACATGCGACTTTCACCCCTATATCAGTATACCTCGTACCCCTCAATCTGTACTGTGGAAGATTTGATGCTCACTTTTCCAAATGCTCTTTGATGTTGCTTGTTACTGAGTGGAAATTATTTGATATTTTTAGTTGTAGAAAGGCTAGCCGTGTTAGCCTGTGCAGGCAGCAAAATAGCCACACAGGAGGGGTTCCCTGAAATTAGAATGCTTGGAAAGCCGATAATGGCCATACTGGTTGAGGTGAGCCCACTGTGTGTTAAAAGAACACATTGACCTAATACAGTAACAGTTCCCCAGCTTTCATAAACTTGCTTTTTTCTCTTACCTTTTCAGAGGCCTCCATACTGAGCGTACACGTTGTCTCTCCAGAAACAAAGCTAGCTCAGAAAGTATTGAAAAGTGAGTGGGGAAGAAAGGGAGGAACCTCCCTTGCAACCAATGAAAAAAGTTTCACAATCCCACCCTTTAGCTGTCAGATGGCAGAGGAGTTAAAAAAAGAGCTGTGCAGATCTCATTCCTCAGTATTTTCGGTCTCAGATATTAGATAAAGGGGGCAGACGAATCATAGTGTTTCTACACAAAATGAACACATGTTTTGGATAGAACAAAAGACAAGCAGTGCCTGTACGCTTAAGTGTGCCACGTTTACACTATTGGTTCCATATTTAGGTTTTTGCAAGATTCAGAATCTCTTGGAAAAGGCTGGAGAATAAAGTCAAGTACCATAAGAAAAGCTTCACTGGATCAGACCATAGGCCGTCCCTAATACACTACCATGCATTTGTCATAGCAGAGAAGCAGAGGTTTCTGCCAAGGCACAAGCAAGATAATAGATAAACTGCAGTGTCCCTCTCCTGTTGTTGTTTGACATTAACTCTTATTTAGAGGCATGCTATCTCTGATCCTGTATCATACAGCCATTATGGCTAGCAGCCAGATGTCGAGCTGGATAAATGCATTAGCAAAGCAGCTACCATGTTCTCTAGACTCACAAAGAAAGTATGGCTCAGTAAAAAGCTGACGGCATACACCAAAATCCAGGTCTATACAGCCTGTGTCCTGAGCACACTCCTGTACTGCAGGGAGGCAGGTGGTGCATCATGGCCTCTCCCAATTTGAAGAGTCCCTTGTCCAGCAGGCCGAGGCAAAGAGGCAGTACAAAAGCAGCAAAATCAGGGAGTGGGACAGGGGATAGATTGTATTTGTCTTCAGTTTGGAAGGGATTGTCACTCTCGAATTGGCCTTCTCAACCACAATAGATGCTATTCCAAGTCCTCCATACAGAGCACATTATATTTCTCTTGAGACTGAAGGATGCCTAATCTAACAGTGGTGGGCAAAGAATAGCCTTTTGTCACTATGAAAACATCTGGTCCATTAAAAAGAGCCAATCTCTTCTTGTCTGCACCTTTTGTCCACCCCAGCATACCTTTACACCTAAGAAATTGGGACTTTTGCATCAACACAGGTCTTTCTGAGTATGGAGAAGAACATGCGACTTTCACCCCTATATCAGTATACCTCGTACCCCTCAATCTGTACTGTGGAAGATTTGATGCTCACTTTTCCAAATGCTCTTTGATGTTGCTTGTTACTGAGTGGAAATTATTTGATATTTTTAGTTGTAGAAAGGCTAGCCGTGTTAGCCTGTGCAGGCAGCAAAATAGAAATAAAAAGTTTTTAAAAGGCAAAAATGTGGTGGCACCTTAAAGTCTAACCCTTTTTTATATATTAGTCTTTAAGTTCCAATGAAGTGGACTTGTTCACACAAGCTCACATTAAAAAAATATAAAAGTTAGTCTTTAAGATGCCACATTTTTGTCTTTGTTTACTTTTTATTTCTATTTTGCTTTTACAGTACCAAATATTGTAAATTGTACTATAGTGATTCTGACATGAACAACAAAAGACATATACAGAACAATTTAAGTCTGTGAATTGTTATAATTAAGAAACAAATTCCTCGTGCTGATTTGAATTTTTCTCATCAGTGTTACTTTAATGATACTATCATTGAGAAATACAGTACTGCCTGTGGCTAGGAATATTTGCATCATAGTTATTCTAATTCATAATGACTAAGATTTGTATCACTTAACTAGCAGGAAACACTACTGTACTGATATTTAACTGATACATTGTATATACTGGTTATATATCAGTAGTGTTTCCTGGTAGTTAAGTGATATAAATCTCATTTATTATGAATTAGAATGACTATCATGCAAATATTCCTAGCCTATATATATGTATCAGGTAAAAGCACATGGTTTATCATATATATTTTCTTAATGATAGATTATTTCTCAACGATAGATAAATATATAGAGAATGTCTCAATGATATATACTCTCTAAAAACCATGTGCTTTTTTACCTGATACACATGGTTTTTCAGCAAAACTCTACTCATAAAATTTCTAAGGAAGACACTAAAAGGCTCTGGCAGGCATTATACCTAACTTTGCTCAGCTGAAGTGGGGAGGAAAACCTAAAGAGCAATTTAAATCATTAACTGCTTCTCTAAAAGCCGACTCCAGTTTTATCTGTACTCACTATTTATCAGCAGAAAGAAAGCCCTGAGAGTCAGCGACCTAGGCTACGAATATTTAATTCCTAAAAATAGAGGGGATGGTGCCGAGAGCTTAGGTTTGCTGGAAATCTATACTGTCTGCCTCGTTTTGAAAGAATGGGTGCAAGGGAGATAGTAGGAGAAAAATAATTGAGGCAGCTAGATTAATCCATGCTAGTGATTGGGTTAAGGTGGTAGAGCTACTCCAGAAGGCGAAACTCCGACTTCCAGCCTTTCGATAATCCAGAGTTACGACCACAAGGTCTTAAAAACCGGCATTCCCTTCCATCTGAACGGCTCTTCAGATATCATCCAAGTTTCACCGGGACACAAGGAGAAAGGGCTGCACAGCCACAAGAGAAGGCCAGACAGATGGCGTGTGTACCTCGATCGGCACCACCACTACACAGACAACTCTTTCCGCGCTGTTAGCGAAGAGTCAATACCTTCGCCCCGGCGGCACACATCCTGCGCGCAGTCCCCTGTCGGAACCCGTCTCTCCCCAAGAGAACACCGCTAGCCTCTTTTTCCTATTTTGGCATCGGCTCCATTGAAAACGGTGCCGCCTCTTGTTTTAAGGCTGGCCGGTCAAGAATAAAGATGTTTGAAAGGCGTGACATTTTTCCGTGAGTTGTTAGCATGCTGGGAACAGTAGTTTCTCCATCTTCCTCCAGCTTTCAAAACACAGCGGGGAATATATATTTTTTGTCCTCCAGATTTTTTTGAACTACAACTCCCATAATTCCTTGCTAACGGCTATGCTGGCGGAGGGGGCGAATGCAAAAAAGGAGTCCCCGGTGCCTGTCTGGAAGTTTCCTTCAAGTGTTCTGATAGGATCAAAGTGCAATGAGGGACCTTTGCCCCACCCCCACCCCCGGGGGCCCTGTGGCACATTTAAAGGCGGCCACAGACTGGAAACAGGGCTTTGCACACCATCTTATAAAGTTCGTTGTGTGATTTATGGATCACTGATTTGGCCTATATTTATTTCATATTGTTTTTCTAGCTGTAGGCATGACCAGAAATACGATGAGAATGGCTGGTCTGATTGTTCTGTTCTTTAGAACCAAGATGGCAAACAATTTAAATACAGTACAAGAATTTGAAAGAACTTAAAGACAGTAGTTTGAAATAAGCTGAGAGGTAGGTTCCAGAAAAATAGCTGCCTATTGTGGCGGTGTGTGCCAGTGGCACTAAAGGCTAACAAATGTAGCAGAATTCAGCTTACTTTATAAATGAAGAAAGTTTAGGCCATTGGAAATTATAGAATTGTGTGAGGCCAGAGGCGAGGGGATTGAGATCCTCGCCGGAGTGTCGTCCTCCCCTAAGAAAGAGCAAGAGACACAGACAGATGCAGCAACTCCCAGCATCGTGACAATACAGCAGGGAGTAGACACCCGGGATCTAGAGCAGGGTATGGCAAAGCTGTCATAGCAACTCAAACCGGGTCGGAAAAGGCGGGAACGGAGGACAGGGGCAGACCGTTGGTAGGGGCGGAAAGTGGAGATATAAAAGGGGAGAGAGATGCCATACCAAGGGGTTGGGAATTAATATGGGTCGAAGATCCCTGGACAGGGAGAGGTGAAGATGCAGATTATAGGAGGAGACGCAGTCTGCCCCCTAAACCCTCTTACTGGGGGGAATCAGAAGTTAGAGAGTGGCGGAGACATTTAAGAGAGGAGAAGGAAGCTGTGGAAAGAGTGGAACGTGAGAGGAGAGCATGTCGTCTGGAGGAGGCTCGCCGGAGGAAGTATTTACTGGACCCTGGGACCCATGCACTGAGGGGACCGTCCCCTTCTACTTGGAGGGAAGAGATGAGGAGACCCTTCCCTTGATAGACACTGGTCTGGACAGCCGGGACCATGAGGACTCTAACCCTTTTATCAAAGGTCTCTGGTATGAATCTGGTTACAACCCATTTTTTCAAAATTTATGGACACCCTTGTTTGACCCATTGGCGGCGAGAGACAAAACAACAGACAAGTTAGATGTTGCTAATTCAGTGTTTAATGTTCAAATAAATCCTAGTTCTAACTTTACAAAAATTGAAAAGCCTGTATTTGTGTCCAACCAGCCTGAGGCCATAACCGAACCATCACAAACTGTATAAAGTTTTCATTCTGACAATTGTTTTTCAGCCTTTCCAAAAGGGATGGGGGTTACAGGAGAGAACTGGTGAATCTCAAGGGTTAATTATTCAATCTATAGCCTCAAAAATGTCTGAATGAATATCTGCTCCCAGGAAGTGTAAATGATCTCAAACGTTGCTCCTAGTTGCAGATTTTCCAATTTCCCACCACACAGAATCTTGGCAATTTCTTGCTTTCCCTCAGTCAGATTCAATGGAAACAGGAAAACAGACACTGGAGCTGTGTTTCATCTTAAGAGGGCCTTGACAGGATGGCACTGATCACTGTCAATGTACAGTATTTTCTACAGCTGTACATGTGTGTGAGAGAGAATGACAGAAACTTAGGACCAAGATGGCAAACAATTTAAATAAGTACATGTGTGTGAGAGAGAATGACAGAAAAAGTGAGAGAAGAATGTTTTAAAGTCAGTTTTATTATTCAGATCTGTCTTCATCTAATTAATATACAGTACAGTACATCACTGGTTGAATTCAACCAACTGGTTGAATAAAATGTGACACATTAAAAATTAAAATGTGACACATTCCATAGGTGGGAAAAGAAGTGTTACAATGTAACTGATTTGGTCAACTAGTTTTATCCATTTACTTTTACAGTGGAATTGTAAGTATAACTTCTTAGAAGTAAGTCCTATTGTTTTCAATGGCCTTGCTCTTAGCTAAGTAGGAATAACATTGCAGGCTTACATTTCTATCTTAATTTGTAATCAGATTTGCACCCTAGAGTGATTTGTGTGTGAAATAATAGGGGCTCTGCATATCTTGTGGAATTTTAAATGGATGGATTCATTTGTTCAATAAATCTGATGGGTCCTAGTTTTAGCATAAGTCTTTGTCCCTCAGTATTAAAACATCTGAAAAATGTAGTACTGGTCCTTTAAACAAAGATAAAAAGACACCTAAACAATACAGTGTTTTAAAGAGGTTAGCTTGTTAGTCAAAATCCAGTCTTATAGTCAGCTTAGCAGTACAGTATGTCTGTCTACCCCTTCTTAGGTTGGAAAGCAATAACATAATCAGTCAAAAAGAGAGTAAAAGATGGAAGGACAAAATAAACAGATTGTAACACTGCAATGAAAATGGAATACTTTATCATTTCTTTAAATTCTCAGGTATGTTCTCTTAGAGAACTAGGACTAAAAGGACTGTGTAAATCTGTGTAGATCTCTGTGTGTATTGTGTACTGTATATGTTTGATCATAATAAAAAATATTGTGACGTGCTCTGAGTGTCTTGATGGAGTTTAGGGCGATTCCTAAACCATGGAAGGTGGCATTAGCCAGTATATGTGATGTAACTGTGGATCTTAAGCTATGACATACCCAGCAAAAAAAAATCATGCTTTGAATTATTAGACACCACAATCTCTTTTAAGGAAAGATCATTAGCCAATATATGTGATGTAACTGTGGATCTTAAACTATGACATACCCAGCAAAAAAAATCATGCTTTGACACCACAATCTCTTTTAAGGAAAGATCTGAGCAAATCTTCTAGGAGCTGGCACTGCAACTCTCCTGATACATCTCTCAAACATAAGCTGTGAGTCATAGGCCTGTTTTGTGAGGAAGTTACTATTCATATTGATTCTGTATTTGACTAGTCTATGATCTCTGTTAAAGTTTACGTACTGTACTCTTAAATTATTTGCCTGCTTTTTATAGATTAACCAGGATAAATGGACCCTCCACACCCTTAATGTTGTCAAAAAACTTAAGATTACAACACATATTGTTCTCCTCTTTTAAAAGATCCAGGTGGGGAGGGGAGGGATGATTGGCGCTCATCAGACGCACTCAGGGTTATTCAAATATATACAGTATATCATGTATATATATGCGGTTGAGCTTAAATTTGTAGTCAGTGAAATCAGAGGGAAATGAAATGCAGAAGATACACTTTGACGGGCTTTGGTGCCCGCAGGCTCCCTGCTCTGACCAATCTGTTAGCCTTTAATATAGAACAAGACTTGTGCTATCTTTTTAGCACTGTTGTAGTTCTCAATACTGTACAATATACATTTTAAGAGGATCGTCCTCCACACGCGTTGTTTTTGGTGAAAACTACATTTCCCAGAATCCCGCGGGAAGCGTCTTAGTTTCCCACCTTTCCTAACTCACGTGGTACGGACAAACTCTTTCGCCCATCATGCCCCCCGAAGGAGCCGGTGTGTGTGTGTATGTGGGGGGGGGCAGGGAGAGAGACTCGGCTTCCCGTTGTGCATTGCGCGCAAACTACGAAGGGCCGGCAGGAGGCGCCTCCCGTCAAGGGGCGAATGCCGCCGGCGGCGAACAAGAACGGCCAGGCCGCGCTGGGCCTGCGGCCGCGAAAACCGCTCAGGCTGGCGAATGGCTCCGCGTTGCCCGCCTCCGCCGCTCGGAATCCCGGGTGGTTCTGGAGCCCGCTCGGCCTCGTCTCGCTCCTCAGCTTCGCCACGCGCTTCTACCGCCTGCGGGAACCGTCGCACATCTGGTACGGGGCTGCCATAGAGACGGGGGCGGGGCTTATCTTGGGGGTGGGGCAAGGAAGGTTCTTGGACTGAAGTTGAGCCTGTTTCGGCAGGTGTATAAAGATAGACAGACATGCCTATTTTAGACTGCTTCGAGAAAAAGAGGGGCTTTTAAAGCCACGAAATACAGGGCAGGAATAGATACTGCTTTTTAATCCTATTTTTAACAACCAGCTTAAGTTCTCTCTCTTTCTTCCATTATAACAATGTATTTATTTATTACTTTTATATCCCACTCATATATTTTTGGGGCGCTACTCTGGGTGGCTAACAACAATTAAAATACCACAGACCAGCACCACCCACAAAGACATAATTAGAAACAAAAAACAATTTAAAACACAAAGTATCCTCAAAAAATCAATTTCTATCTCGTCATATTTGGTGAGAGATAAGAATGGATATAGAAAGACTGACTTCAAGTTTCAGTCCACAGCAGCAATATTTTCCTTGGTCTGTACAGATTACTTTTTGTATGGGATGTTGAATGCTATATGCCCCTAATGGTCTAAACACATTTATTAATCTGTGAGATAATCTATATTTCAGTTTATAATCATTTCCCCACCACCACCATTATAAACCTTGCCAATTTGCAACATTCTCTGAAGAAAACTCACTTGAAACCATTAGGATTTAAGTGGATATGTTTAGAACTGGACTTCTGAACTGTTAAAATGTATTACAGATCAGATATTATTGTCTAGGAGAAGTATCTAGCAAGTTATCAGCCCAGCAGATGTGATCTTATATTTACACCAAAAATGCCATCAATTAAGAAGGTTTCTGCTTTCAGCTTTGAACTTTATGCAGACCTGTTTGAATGTAATCATACTGAGTTACTGCAAATGGTAACGGTAGCTAGTGAAAGTATAATCGTTGACTTTTCTGTCTTATTTTATTAGTTGGGATGAAACACATTTTGGAAAGATGGGAAGCTATTACATTAACCGGACCTTTTTCTTTGATGTCCATCCACCTCTGGGGAAGGTAATCTGCTTTCATAAATTCTTATTCATTTTGAGATCTCATAAAATCCCTTGGCTGCGGAATATTTCATCCTAATAAACGTCCCACCATGATAGATTTTATGAACACTTCCATGGATATTCCTTTGAAGTAACCAATGGTATTTGACTTTTCTTCTGAAAGCAAACTCCCTTATCTCAGCCTGTAGGCCAAGTGTTGCTTTCAGCCTTTTCTTGGACATAAAAAACCTCTCTACTAGTTCAGAAAAAAAGGTATATCTACCCAGGAGTCTTCCTACTGCAACTCACTAATTGAGAAAGTGTAAAGAGGGCATGTTGGTGATAACTGCCTCTTATTATTTTTTCCACCTTCTCATGATCAAAAGTGCTTCCTTTCCAGCATGTGATTCTTTTTCCTATTTCCACCACTCACTTTCTCAAGGTAGCTGAGTTTCCTGCTCTGGGAGGCAAAGAACAAAGAAGGTAGAAAGAAATTGGATTGCTTCACTGAACACTTGCAACAATCCTGCCATTTTTGTGCTGCATACACAGAGTTCACTATTTCCATTTCTTCCTTGTAATATATACCATATTTTTCCATGCATAAGACACTACTTTTTCCTAAAATCATTACACTAAAAATTGAGGGGTGTCTTATACACGGAAGTAAGTTGAGAACAAAATGGCCCATACCTTGCCTCTGTAAACAGGCTTTCTTCACTCACGAGGCTTAGCTTCCTACAGTCAGCACACTTAGCTTCCTCTAATCACGAGCCTTATGGAACTGGCATCAGCTGATGCTGAACAAACCAAATGGAACACACTGAGGTAGAGCCTGTAGGCTCAGATTCAACAGGGACCTGTAATGTGTGACATTCTGAGCCCAGAGGCTGAATACTCAAAGCTTAATTTTTGGGTTAGAAAAGTGGGGTGTGTATCTTATAAACAAAAAAATACAGTATTTCTAAAATATTTAATGCAAGTTGCCCTGTAAGCTTTTTGGGTTGAAGAGTGGCATGTCAAGTATCAATGAAATAATTAACTGCCCAGATTACTGTGGTATGTGTGCTTGCGTATGTGCACTGTCAGTCTTGAATCTAAATGGTGTCTCTTTTTAATTTTTTAGAGGACTAGATTAATCTGTAAAATTCTGCTTTTAATTATGACTGACTGAATCTGTTCCTCTATCTTCCCTAGATGTTGATAGGACTTGCTGGCTACCTGAGTGGCTATAATGGCACATTTCCTTTCCAGAAGCCAGGGGACAAATATGAACAACACAATTACATAGGAATGAGAGGGGTAAGATTATGGGATATTTAGTAAACCACCAGAGTCTTATCTGTGGGGAACAATGTTGAGTTAACTCCAAAATTTGCCTCCTGTGTATAGAAACCTGCCTTCTGTCTGCAAAAGAGTTTTGATCTAGATGGAAGTCTGCCAGATGGAAGAGAGAAGGAAAAATAAAAAAATGTTTTCTACCATCATCTAGAATAGCTGCTATGGGAGGCGGGTGGCCTTATCTTAAATCTTAAGAGGCCTTCCTCTTAAGATTTCAGAGAAAAGAAAATATTGACAAAAATCACATCTCCCATAACTCAGCAGGAGAGTTATGAGGGGAGCCCCACTTGAGAGCTGCTACTGGTGATGGAAGCAAGTCCTTGACCCAGTGTCTCTTTAGATGTAAAGAGTAATATATTCTGTAGGGCCATTATGCTTGTAAAGAGATGAGAATGTCCTTTTGCACTTTCCCACTGGCTTATGAAAGTGATAGCTGTAGTTATGCTGCAGTAAAAAGGGAACATGCTTTCCTGTGAAGATGTTCTCAGTCAGCAAACACTCTCTCTTTCACATATACTTGGAGATACTGCCACCAGCAATTATGATCTGCAAACAGATGGACTACCTCAGTATTTGAAGAAAATTGAACTGAGAATGAAAATTCCTTGTCAGAAGGCCTGAATAAGATGGCAGAGGGGAAGGAAGAAAAGTCAGACAATAAGTTGTGGCTAAACCTGGAACTGTGGAGGGTTTGGGTACAAATTGTCTTCAATGAGGTCTTGAGAAAAAAAGGAAAATATATAAGTGGATCTCTTCTTTATTCTATTGAAAAATGTGGCTTGTGCTATGGGATGCTTGTATCTTCTTGCCTGAGTTTCTTTCTGTTGGTTTAGCAGAAAGGAGGTATAAGTGAGGATTGTTGGGATGGGATGAATCAAATATGTGGCTTTTGTCAATTTTCTCTGGCTCTTGTGAAAGCAAATGCTGTCATCAGACAAACACTGTGCGTTTTCACCCATTTCTTCAGAATACACATCAGACTGGATTGAGTATTGCATAATGTATCTTGTATATTATAAGAGCTGTGTTACAGAAGACCCTAATATGATTGTACAGAAAACACATATTATCATTGCCTTGTGAAAATTGTTTTTCCTTTCTTTTTTAGTTCTGTGCATTCCTGGGTTCATGCCTAGTCCCCATCTGTTACCTCACAGTGCTGGAGCTGTCCAAATCACTCCCTGCAGCAGTGCTCACAGCTGCCATTTTGATTTTTGGTAGGTATCTTCTTCATGCTGTTTTACCAGGTTCTGCTACTGGGAAGGGAAGATCACTGAAGGAGCCCAGCTCCAGGGCTGATTAGCTGCTCATGACCTTTCCTGCTATGGTAGGCTGTATGTGTTAGATAGATTTGGATATTTTTGTTCAGATCTTGTATTGGTGCTAGGATTGAACCCTCACTACTTATATATGTGTTGCCCATACTTTTCTGTCTTGTGGGTCTTTTCAGTGGTGGCAACATCATTGTAGAATACCCTTATTGAAAAGTCACTTGAACCTACATTGCTATCTTCTCTGCTGCAGACAGGAACCAGGTTGTTCAGTTTTGAAAACATTTCAAACAATTCAAACATTCCTGCTTGCCTTTCTTTTATATTCTAAAATTTAGCACCAAGAATAGCCTTCAAAAAGCATTTTAATATTTTCTCCTTGTGGACGGAATCATTTTAGTGTGTTAGAATAATAGAATCTTAGAATAAAAGAGTTGGAAGGGGCCTATAAGACCATTGAGTCCATCTCCCTGCTCAATATAGGAATTCAAATCAAATCATATCCGGCTGAAGGTTGTCTAATTTTCTCTTGTATGTCCCCAGTGTTGGAGTGCCCGTGGCCTCCTGAGGTGATTGGTACCATTGTTGTACTGCTTTAACAGTTAGAAAGTTTTTCCTGATATTCAACCAAAATCTGGCTTCCTGTAACTTGAGCCTATTTTTACATGTCCTGCATTCTGGAATGATTGAGAACAGATCCTGTCACTCCTCTGTACGATAATTTTGCAAGTAGTTGAAGAGTGCTGTCATATCTTTTTCAGTCTTCTTTTCTCAAAGCAAATATGCCCAGTTCTTTCAGTCTTTCCTCATAAGCCTTAGCTTCCAGTCCACTGATCAGCCTTGTTGATTTCCTCTAAACTTGTTCCAGTTTGTCTTCTTAAAGTGTTGTTTCTGCTATTCAGTAGCATGATGTTTGCAGGGTAGATTTGATTTAAATCACAATTTAAATTAAAATTTTGATTTTTTTAACTATTAACATTTTTTAAAAATTATTTTTCCAAATAATTTTTTTTCCAAAATAATTTTTTTAAAATTATTTTTCAAGTTGTGTTTTAAATCATTGTGATTTTTATGCACCCTGGATGCTTGGTTAGGTATTGAAAAGATGAGGTTGATATTTTGGGAACCATGGTTCATCTGCCCTTGTCTTATTTTCCAGACACAGGGTTCATCACTCTTTCTCAATATATTCTGCTTGATCCTATTCTGATGTTCTTCCTTATGGGAGCCGTACTCAGTATGGTCAAGTATAATTCCTGTGCAAACAGGTAAGATGGCAGTTAATTGATTTTTTTTTCATGATTTGAGCATAATGGCCTTTAAATCCTGTGTGGGAAATTAATTTTATATTTACCCGTTTATGTTCAGAAATTTTACTCCACTAAGATGGCTCAAATCAGCCCTCAGGGCAGGTTACAGGATATGGTAAAACAATGAAATCTGTTTCTAAAACCAAAGCATTCAAAACACAAAATAACCAGAAAGGTAACAAGGTAAATGTGCCAGAACACATAAGCAAACTCATAACATGGCATTGTTTAAATTTGCAATACCATGCTAAAAAACCGCAGAGATTAGCTACTGATAGGACTGAGCAGTAAACTTTCAGTTTCACTCCTCTTGTAAAGCTGTTCCTGTGTTGCATTATTTATTTAAAATATCATTACCTCATCTTTCTCCTTTAAAAGGACCAGCGTGGCTTAGATTATTAAAATAGAATAATTAAAAGCTAGAAATAGAAAGTGTACAAATGTACTTCAAAAGGAATCAAAGAGATATCACACTTAAATGGTGAACAAGTGTGTGATGATGCGGTCTGTGAAAATTTGTAGCCATCTCTGCTCCCTCATATGGCATGCTATGGGCCTTCTGGGACTAGTTGTCTAGGCCTGCCATAAACTTTTGCTCCCCACATGCCCCATCAAACAACTGGAAGGGCTGTTCTAGAATCCAGTATTCTTTCTTGGAGAGTCACTGGTACTCTAACAGCTTAGTTTAAATTGGTAACATTTCATTTCAGTTGTGGCTAATAGAGTCATTAGAGCATGGTCTTTGATGAAAGAACACATAGGTATAAAATGTCCACTACCTTTGACTTTTACTCCTAAAGCTGTGTTCAAAAAATTCTGTTTTCAACAAGACATTTCAAAATGTTTTGCAGGTCCTTTTCTGCCCCCTGGTGGTTCTGGTTGTGTCTGACTGGAATAAATCTTGCGGGTGCAATGGGTGTGAAATTTGTTGGGCTTTTTGTAGTCCTCTTGGTTGGAATGAACACAATCTGTGATCTTTGGGAGTTGCTGGGAGACCTCAGCCTCTCGATGGTGAGTGCCTAAAAGTCTGCTTTTATGGGGAGAAAAAGCTATGAAAGCATTGCAGCTGCTTCTTTCAGTGGTCGTCGTATTGAAACCAGATGCTGACTGTGGCAGAGGACAGTCTTTAACCTGTACGTATTTCAGACTTGCCTGTTCAATATGTAAAGTTTCCATCTGTATTGCATATGAAATGGGAGTGAACATTTTTTCAAGGAGAATGTTGTTTCCTGGGTCGTTTTCATTTCATGTTGCACTGCTCAGCTGCATCTAGCATTGCTTTTGAGTAGCTTGAGGTTAAGCATATGCCATGGATTTCTGCAGACAGCTTCTTTTTTAAATGAGCAAATGCCACTGAATAGAAGCATTCTTTTGCTGCATCTGATCACCTGTGATATTGGGAATGCTGCAGTTGTTTTGACCTTCAGTACAGCTGTACAGTTCATAGGCTACAGATTGGATTTGGGCTCCCGATGCATCATGGGCAGTTATTAATTCTAAGCTGTGCCTGAAGGATTTTGCAGCCTCTGCAGACTGAACTGCTTTTCTGAAGATGAAGATGACTGCAATTCATTTTTTTTACAAAGAAGATTCCGCCCCCACCCCAGACTTCAAATAACTTGTCAGGGTAGCTGATGGTTTTAAGAAGGGGCTTAAAACTATTTCCAGCTAGTATTTAGGAGACATCAAATATGAGACATGCTGACCTTGGCAATAGATGTTAAATCTGCTCCTCATTAACAACAATGAATAGGATTTTGCAGGCAGCCAACATGCTGTTTTTTCAAGCCTGTCTGAGGAGTGCTATTGGTCTCTTCTATAGACGACTTCTTAGGCTGTTTGAAGTGTCAAAATCCAATTTCTTCCACCTAATGTTTCTGCTCCTTCTATGTTTAATATATATGGCTTTCTTCTCTCTGTGATTTGTTTTTCTTGATTAAAGTAAGTATAGTACAAAGATGTAAAGTTCCAGTGTCTGAAAAGGGCTGCTTCTGATGTCAGGTCAGTTAATTGCATTTGAAATAGAGCAAATCCATCTTCCTTAAGCCTTTTGCTTGCAGATGGCTGTGAAGTAATTCTAGCTACATTGCTGACCCTGGAGTTACTGGAATATTAGAATATGTCGAGAAATATATTAATTGGTGAAATAATTAACTGTTTGTCATTTCTTCATCACTAATAATGATGAAACATGATGATTTTGGTAAATGAAACTGTGAATATCAGTTCCACAGATATGGGGGTCCTACTGTACCTGCTTTGATCTGACCCTTTTGGTTTATTTATTTATTTATTTATTTAATTTATATGCCACCCACACTACCCAAAGGTCTCTGGGCAGCTTACAACGTTTCAAATACAATAAAATTTAGAACTATTAAAATACAATTAAAATATATATAAAAATTGCCATCAGACATACAGCTAATATTATTTCAATTAAAAGCCTTCTGGAATCATACATTTATCTTAAATACTTGGAAATGTATTCTGTTTCCATGAAGTTATACTTTCACATACTTTGAAGTTGAGTGTGTGCTTCAAGGGCACACCCTCAGAAATGAGTACGTTGTATTTGTTGTATTTCCCATGGCTTACGCCCAGGAAAATGTGCATAGGATTTTGGCCTGACAGCACAATTGCATACTGTACATGTTTGCTCAAACATAACAGTGCAATCCTCAGTGTGTCCACATGGAGGTGACTTGTTCTGAATTTAGTGGGGTTCACTTTCAGGCTTCAGGTTTAATGTGCATGGAATTGCAGGCCAGTTCCCTCTTTCTTCAGTGACACTCCCTTGAGGGGTGATTTAGAATTGCAGCCTAAATGAATTAAATTATTTGGCACTTGGTTGATGAACATTGCAGCTATCTATTAACACAGGTAAGATGAACATAATTTTACAGATTCTGAAAAATGTTGCTGTTGTGGTCAAATTGTTTTTAATTTTAAAAATCTCTTTTTGTAATACAGTGGTGCCTCGCTTAACGAGCGCACCATTTAACGACGAATCCGCATAACGACGCGTTTTTTGCGACCGCATTGCGATGTTTTACAAACAGCTGATCGGTGGTTCCAAAATGGCCACCAGGTCAACAAAATGGCCGCCCACAGCCTTTTTGCACCCTGCCCTTGCTTACTGGGTGGCGAAAATGGCGGCCGGATGGAGGCTTACTCGCATAGCGGTGAGTTTTTCCCCAATAGGAACGCATTAAACGGAGTTTAATGCGTTCCTATGGTTCCCCCCCCGCATAGCGACGAATCCGGATAGCGACGTTAATCCTGGAACGGATTAACGTCGCTATGCAGGGCACCTGTGTATTGTATTCTGTCCTGATACTATTGTAAGCTAGTTACAATATGAATTACAACAGAAAGATATCATATGAATAAAAGGGCAATTAGGGTTCAGAAGTAAGTTGTTTCTGTGTCTGCTTTGTTTTTACCCTTGTTTGATATCACTTAAATATGTAGGTAGTGCCTACATATTTTGTGAGCCTGCTTGGTGGTTGTGCAGTGGGTGTGCTTGTCAAGGACGTACGTACCTTGATTTTTAGAAATACTGCTTAAAAGGTGCTGCAACTGTTCTGCATTGTTTGCTGCAGGTCACTCTCGGGAAACACTTTCTGGCTCGTGTACTCTGCCTCATTATGCTGCCACTTGCCCTGTACACAGCCCTGTTTGCTGTTCATTTCACAGTCTTAAATAGAAGGTATTTCTTCCCTTTTCCTTCTTAAGAATGTGCATTTGGGTAAATCTTCCTGTCTTGGTTTTTCACGACTGCCGTATTGGGTCAATTCAGGAGTCATGCAAAACATGCTTAATTACAGTTTAGTGCAATGTCTGTGTTGGTGAATTATGATTGGCAGTTGGTCAGCAAACCAGAATTACCAACCAAGATTTGAAGTAGTTGCAATTTATTTTTACTGGATGCGCCATATGTCATATGACAGATCATCTTTACAGCTATTACTTCACCCCTGGAAAAGTCTAGAAGGACCAACAGCTGTGAACAATGGCATGTTTTGCTGTCATATCTGCATTGAGCCATAATTTCCCCCATTATCTTTTACATCAAGCAGAAAGTGGCTACAGGAATATTGTTTCTTGTGGCTGTTTCTGTCTTTGTATACATAGACCTCAGTACAGTATCTGAGTTACTGAATAGGTCCATGAATTTCTGCAGACTACTGGACAGGATCCAGAGGTGAACTTTGGCTAGTGGGAACGGGGGTATGACCACTCTCTGCACTTCAGACTACCTGTGTATGCTGAAAAGAGCTCTAAAGCTTTGCATGAGAGGGGAAGGAGATAAACATTCCTTAGTAGCTGCCAGAACAACCAGTTTAACACCATAGCTTCACATGTGATTGTTTTCTCATCATTGATCAAAGGTGTTTAGTTGACACTTTTGGTAGGTGTCAGGTGTGAGTGTATCATAGCATAGGTGTACAGTTTTGCTCACTTGGAACAGTTAATTGTCTTTTAAAAATAAATGATAAAAACAAGAATAACATTTGGTTCTGTATTATTATACAGTATTCCACAGTTTTCCAATATTTCAAATGATGTTACTAGTAACGGCTCGTGGTTTTGAAATTTACCAGTCAATTTTCTTTTACATACCACTGCCTGCCTAAAAGGTTGCTACCAACAAATGTCAATATGCACCAATCTTCTGATGTAATCAGTAATCTTTTTTATTGCTTTAACCAGCCTGTTGTGCCAAGAGTAAGCTGTTTAGTATGTTAGTGGGATGGGGGGGCTTTCATACTTAGGTACTAATTAAGCAAAAGTCAGCTGCCAAGATAGAACTGCATGCATCTGTATAAGATAGTTTGTAGGAATATTAGAGTAAAAATCTGGAGCCTGTCACACTGGTAGCAGGCTTTTGCCAGGGCTCTTTACTTGCATTTTATATGAGCAGGATTGATCACTTAGGTGATGTAAACCCAAGGGCTGCTAAAAGTTGCTTGTGCGGCAGTCAAACTATCCAGATCCTTATAGACATCTAAGGAAATTGAGAACGTCCTTCCTGTGTGCAAATAAGCCAGTGCCAGTATATTTCCTTCTTATTAAATTATATCTTTAAATCCCTGTCCATTTGTCTTCATGCATGCCTAATTTGCATATGATTTGTTCTTTCTTAGTGGGCCTGGTGATGGCTTTTTTAGCTCTGGATTTCAATCCCGCCTGATTGGTAACAACCTTCATAACGTATCTGTTCCAGAGCGTGAGTATCTAGACTCCTTTGGAAACAAAAGCTCTAGCAAGTGCTGTCAACAGAACCCAGTGTCAAATCAAAGAACAGCTGAGGAGTTAGAAGCTAAAACAAGTGCAAAGCTCCAACTTTGAGGCTGTTCAGTGTGTTTGGAATAGTGACATGAGCTGTTTCAGAATTTTTCTTTAGATGTTGAACTTTCTTACTCGTTGGATTAGGGGATTAGGATTGGGTAGTGCAGAAGTGTGATGGAAGTGTGTAATAAGACTTCCTGTATTTATTTTGCATAACATTGAGAAGATGTCGGTGTGGGAGTGGTTGCCCAGATGGTGCAAGAAATTGCTGTGTTTAGATTATGTGCTTCTGTATTAGGTTAAAATGAATTCCAATGCAAAGCACCATCCAGAAGAAGTCCTAAAATTTACAGTACTAGGAAATGAAACCGTTCAGTATACAAATGTACAGTGGTGCCCGGTTGATGATTACCTCGCAAAACGACAAATCTACATGACGATGAGTTTTTGCGATCAGTATAGCGCTTCGCAAAACAGTGTTTCCTATGGGCGATTTTTGCTATACGATGTTTTGGTCCGTGCTTCACAAAATGGTTTTTTTTTTGGGGGGGACCGATTTTTGCAAGACGATAATTTTGACAGATAGGTCCCTGACTCGCAAAACGGGTATTTTTGGGACCGATTTTCGCAAGACAGCTGATTGGCGCTTTGCAAAACAGTTTCTCTATGGACAATTTTTGCAAAACGACGACGATTTGTCCTCATTGGAATGCATTAAACAGATTTCAATGCATTCCAATGGGGAACCACATTTCTCAAGACGATGTTTTCACAAAACAGTGATTTTCGCTGAACGAATTAACATCATCTTGTGGGGCTCCACTGTATTTGGCTGAAACTGAGTAGCAATGATCTTCTGGACTCCTCTCAATTTACCTTTTAGGTATGCAGAGAGAGGCAGAGGAAAGGGCATGCTCTTCTGAAACTATTATGCTACTTGAGCTCCCCTTTGTGTCTCGTCATTCAGAAGATTCTGAAGGCGTATTTAGTTATTTAACTGGAGTCAGCTAGAAGCTCTCATTTCATAGCACAAATAAGTTTTTTGTTTGCTGAATGAATAGGGAGCATTCCTGAACCTTGGCAGCAGAGCTGGGAGGGTGGAGAGGCAGTGGTGCTTGGAGCAGCCGCCTCTTGTAGTGGTATCTCCTACATTTCAGCCTGCAGATTGAGGGCGTGAATGTCAGAATGTTTCTTCTGTAGTTACCTTGTTCTTTCTCACAGGAGGATGGATAAGGAAAACAACTAAAATGGATATGAAACATGTGATTTGAAATCTGCAGAAATCAACAGGAATATTCAAGGGCAGGTGCAGTGTGTGGGTTTCTGGTGTTTTTTCCAAGAAAAGTTGGCCATGTACATTCAAACACATGCTGGTATTATTTCACCTAGTAAGTGGGGAGGCGTATATTTTGAAAATTCTGTTACCACTGAAATGGACTATTATGGAATGCACTTTACTATCTAGCTCTTCTGTGGATCTTGTCCTCATTTTAAAAATTCAAGCTGACTCTCTTAGAAGCAGCAGTTAATGTATCTGCTGAGATTTTTCTTCCCAACAGATTTATCAAGGCCAGTAAGTGACATTACAGTTCGCTTTACACAAAACATTTTGGAGTAGTGGAAGGGAGTTCCAGAAGTACTGGATCAGCAATTATATGATGATCCTATGTATAGCAGTTTTACATCACACTGCAAGCTCAGTCATGAGGAAAACTAACCGCCTCATATGTATATGGAGTTGTCTTCGTAGGAGTGCTTGCTTAACACAGGTGCTAGCATGTAGATTATTCCTCAGGCCGAAGTGTCATGGAACTGTGACTGTGGTGTGGCCTCATAAAGTAAACTGTTTCAAACTATTCTTCTCTTCCATTAGACTTGGCCTATGGCTCTGTGGTAACAGTGAAAAACCTTCGTATGGCAGGTGGCTATCTTCACTCGCATTGGCATCTGTATCCTGAGGGAGTTGGGGCACGGCAGCAGCAGGTGAGTGAACTTTCAGAATGGCATGTTTTGTTCAAGCTGGAGGTATAGAAGCTCTCTCTGAGTTAGGTTTTTTTTCAGACACAAGCGTACCATACAAAAACACCCTTAGAATATTGGTAAACCAAGCGCTGTCTGAGTCCTGGGCAGTTTGAATTGCCAGACTTCCTTCAGTAGGAACAATTGTAGTTCTGCATTGCTGCAATGGATATGCAGTATGGTGTAGTGGATAGAGTAACGGACTACGGCTTAGGAAGCCTGGGTTTGAATCTTGTTCAGTCATGGAAGCTCACAGGGGAAGTGGAACTGGTAAAGCCACTCTTTAAATTGGCAACTTATCTTGAAAGCTTTGTTAGGTTCCAAATTGATGACACACAACAGCAACAGCATTGCTCCATTACTTTCTCGTTGCTGTGAATATATGGAGTGCCTTTGCAGCATGAAAGGTGATGTAATGTTTTAAGAGGAGTATTAATACTGCCAATGGCTACTAGTAATGATAGCCATGTACAGCCTCTAGAATTGCATGACAGTTGTGAAGCAGAAGTGGGAAGGTGCTATTCTCATCATTTCTAACTTGTGTGCATCCCAGAAACACTTACCTGGCCACTATGGGAAGTAAGATACTATACTACAGACCTGTGATCTGATCCAGCCAGGCATTTCTTAACACCCTCTGCTTATCTACAATGTTGGTGAATCTCACACAATCATAAGATTACAAGCCTTAAAGGAAAGGGGCTTTCTTGTTTATTAGTGGTGTCAGGCTCAAAGATTTGTAGGTTCGGGGTCACAGGCCAGCATAGTAGCTCTTGGGAATAGGCAATAAACACACCTCTTTGTCTAGGACTTGGCAGTGCAGATTTCTGGTTCTTCTTCGTGGCCTCCGTGAATCACACTTATGGGTTCTGTAGTGCACATCTGCAAAGTCTTGGGACATTCTAGAGCTTGAAAGACTGTGTGCATCTGGTTTTGGAGCCAGAGACTGGGAGTTCAGTTCCCATTGTGCCTTCTGCTAGCCTGTGCTGACAAACTACACAGTCTCAGGGAAAGGGAATGGTAAATCACTTGTCCCAAAAGTTATGTTGCAATTTATAGATGATGCATGTCAGTGTGTGTACCTTCTGGTTTATGTAAATTAGTGATTTTTTTTTTGAAATTTGCTGCTTAATGTAAGAAGTGTTACTGAATTGTCACTTTTGAGGTGAAAATGACATAGACAAGATCAATGATACGTCTAGGTTATGCATTTATTGGCTGGCATTGATGCAAGATACTTGTAGCAGTACAGTTTTTCTTGTCAATTATGAAAACCATATTTTATGTAAAAGAGGCAGAGCAACTGTGTTGCATTTTGTCACAATATGCTTCAGTTTAATTTGGGGGTGGGGTAAGGACTGCATACCAGGTTCCTTCGAAAGTGCACCAGAATGCAGTTGTTAGTGGATGCACAGTGTGTGACTTGTTGATGAATAGATATAACCATGCTTCAAGGGATGAAATCCAGTGATTTCTGTGTGTTCCTAGGTCACTGCATACTTACACAAAGACTTGAATAACTTGTGGATTATAAAGAGGCACAATGTGAATGCAGGTAAACAAATGGATTATGTAACTCATTTGTCCTTTCTTTAAAAAAAAAGGGTTCTCTTTTCCAAGAATTTGTAGGTTCTTTTCTATGTGTATAATGTTACCCTTATTTTTATTTTTTGTATTTAAATATGTCCTTTCTTCCAAGAAACTAAAGATGGCAGACACGGCACTCCTTTTCATATTCTGTATTACGAGCTATGCTTGTATCCTCTGCATGAGTGTCCAGTTTTGAAGTCAGCATAGTGAAGGGTCTGGAATGCAAACCTTAAGAGAAGCAGCTAAAAGAGCTAGGTATGTTTAGCCTGGAAATGAGAAGATTCAGCTGAGATAGGATGACAATGTTCATGTATCTGAAAGAGTGTCATGCAGGAGATAAAGCCTAGTATTTATTGGCTGTTCTAGAGGATAATGGTAGAACTAGTAAGTAGAAATTGCAGATTTCAGTTAAATAATAGAAGTCACTTCCTAATGGTAAGAGGGGTTCAATACTGAGCTTTAGAGTGGTAAATTCCCCATTGTAGACAGTAGAACATCTTTCAGTGATGTTTTCATTGCATACTGCATTGCAGATCATAGTCTGAGCACTGTGGTTTGCAATACAGTAAGACCCCCCATATACATGGTTTCACTTATCCATGGTCTGAAAATATTTAAAATATTAAAAGAAAAGAAAATCCAGAAAACACTATTTTCACATGTATTACCAGAACAGCCAGAGACTGTGCTATGAATACTTGTTAGTGAAGAATATATAGCATGGTCTCTGGCACCGTAACCAAACCCCAGAGGATATGGGGATGCTACTCTATGTGACTTCTAATAGATTCAGATGGTGGTTAGATTTATTAAAGTCTTGAACTGAGAATTGTGAGATCCTTTGTAAATGTGAAATCTGGCGACTAATATTGGGTCAGTCATTTTTTCCTGGCTCAGCCTATCTCACTGGATTTTTATGAGGATGAATGGGGAGGCAGAGAATAATTTATTTAGCCTTGAGCTCATTGGAGAAAAGGCAGAATATAAATGTAACCAGTCAATACATAAAATACAGTTGAAGTCGGTATAGTAGACCCTGTTCCCATATAACCAGGTGTTTGGCAAGTTGGATATTCTCTTTCTATCCTCCCAGTTTTGTTTACTTACACAGCAGAAGCTTAAAGAGGATTGTGGACCTTTTGCAGAATGCAGTAGTAACGCTTGTGATCTTACATGTGTTTCATGAGTTGAAATCACTGAGATCTGTTGGGGAAGCCCTCCTCTGTATCCCACCATTGAAAACAATTCATTATATGGCGACATGGTGGAGAGCTTTTTCTGCCTTATCACCCCAACTGTAGAATGCCCTTCCCTCAGAGGCTTGATTGGCACTGACACTGGCATCATTTCAGTTGATGGTCATGGCCTGTGCAGATTTTCGTACAGTGGTTTTAATGTTTTAATTTTCTAATTTAAATTGTGTGATTTTAATTTTTTAAAATTATCCTGTGTTTTACAGTTGTTTTATATAGCTGTGTAACCCACCCTCAGATCCTGTGATATAGGGTGGTCTATATGTAAATGTTTTAAATAAAGAAATCTTGGGGGTCAGATCCATGAGCAATCATTTGTAGAATATAAACTCTTTAAGAGAACGGTGTGAATGGGCATTGTAAATAGGTGCTGTTTTCTGCAAGACCCAACTGGGAGGAATTGGTCTGCTTTGTATAGTGGGTCTGATACTATGTTGCTATTGACTGGTAGTCTTTTTAGTTATTTTTTGGGCGGAAACCATTTTACCATAAGTTGCTCAGTAAAGGCGGACTTCGAAAACAAGTGAAATTTCCAAAAGAGGAGACAAACCTTTAGTTTCAAGAGAAAAAAAATCCTTCTTTTACTTTCCATCTCAAGTAAACAGTACAACATAATCCTATTCACTGCCCCATTCTCTGTGTGGTGCATCCCTTGTAGTGTGGAAAAGCTGAAATGAAACCCTTGCTTTGATAGTATCCATATTTACAAGCATTTGTAGTATAATCCTATCTACAATTACTTGTCCATCCCAGTAGATCTATATTTGGGGAAAAGATCAGTTCCCCAAATGTTGTTGTGTCTAATGGCTTTAATCTTAGGGAAGTGGAGGTTTTTCCTCTTTAATTAGTAAAAAAAGTGGATCTTACCACTCCTGTTTACTTGTGGTAGAAGTTAAGGTTAAAAAATGTTCATCAGTTTGATCATGCTTTGAGTGAGGTAGGCATTGATCGGTGACCTGAATTTCCTTGCCTTTGGGCAACCACAATTTTGAACAAAAATTCAACCACAACCTTTTGCTTAAAATCGAAAGGTTATTTTACTCTCCTGGGATATCATAATAAAACTTCCCTAAATGTACTTAGTATCAGTCTTCTCTGTCTTCCTTACTTATTGTGCTGTGTCCTCTTCTGTTTCACCAGATTATTCTGACCCATCTTTCCCTGTGGAGTTTGTGAAGCATGGAGATGTTATCCGTCTGGAGCACAAAGAGTAAGGGAATGGGATGAGTGCTGAAAATGTCCTTGTTTTTGTAAGAATCAACAATTCTAACTGAACATGGCAGCAAATGGACTGCACCCCCTCTCAGCCATGACGTTCCTGGGTTTGAAGTGTAAAGTAACCACCAGGGTGTTTAGTAATCCTGTAGCTGTGCTCAGTTGAATGTGTCAGATCTTTTCTGTAAGCATGGAAAGATCATGAGTAGAGCGGGATGAAATGTAGCGTTTGTCTCTCTTTTCTATTACAGTTTTGGAGTGCTTGAAAAGGGCTAATGGAGATCCATAACTGGATCTAGTGCTGGTTTTCAGAGTGCCACATGACTCCAGTTTTATTGTTGACCAATTCCCATTTGACAAAGCTTCTGTACAGTGGTGCCTCGCTTAATGATTGCCCCGCATTGCAACGAATCCTCTTTGCGACAATCTTTTTGCGATCGCAATTGCGATCATAAAACAATGGTCTAAATGGGGGAATTTCGCTTTGTGATGATCGGTTCCGTGCTTCGGGAACTGATTCTTTGCAAAATGATGTTTTTAAGCAGCTGATTGGTGGCTTCAAAATGGCCACTGACTTTCAAAATGGCCCCCTGCTGTTTTCTAGGAACAGATTCCTTGCTATACAGGCAGCGAAAATGGCTGCCGTATGGAGGATCTTCGCTGGAAGGTGAGTTTTTACCCCATTAGAATGCATTGACAGGTTTCAATGCGTTTCAATGGGGTTTTTAGTTTCGCTTTACGATGTTTTTGCTTAACGGTGATTTTCCTGGAACGGATTATCGTCGTTAAGCAAGGCACCACTGTATATGGCAACCATATGGAACTGTGCTAAATGTTATTTTACACTGTCTCAAGTATAAATTCAAACGGTAAATGAAATCTTACCTTATTTTAGGACGTCTAGAAACCTGCACAGTCATCACCATGAAGCCCCTTTGACTCGAAAGCATCTTCAGGTCACAGGATATGGCATAGTAAGTGAACAAATGTAACCTTTGATTCTGTGTGCTGCTTAGAATATGTTCCTGTAGCAAAAGCTCCCCCCCCCAGTTTATTTCTTTCTGAGCTGGACAGTAGTTTTTCCATCACCACCAGTATTGTTCATGTTGTGAAGATTTAGAATGCTGTATTTCTTGGTGATTCCCCCCTGCCGTTCCCCTGGTCTGTTTATCTCTCAGAATGGAACTGGAGACTCCAATGATTTCTGGCGAATTGAGGTTGTAGGAAGAAAACTTGGAAATCGCATCAAAGTCCTACGTAGTCAAATCCGTCTGATTCATGTGGCTACGGGCTGCATTTTGGGCTCAACTGGAAAAACACTACCAAAGTGGTGAGTATGTGAATGTTACTTCTCGTCATATTCTAAGGGCTTAAAGAGACTGAACTGTGACCTCCAACTGGAGGAAGAACTCTCCCACTTGGCTCCCGGCTGTACATGTGCAAGCATGTATTTGAGGCTACCTTGTGTCACAGTTAGAGATCTGCTGATGAAAATCTTTTACTTTAGCAAGACTGTCTAGGCTAGACACCATTCACCAAAGGTTCATACTCTAGGTCACTGGTTCTTAACCTTGGACCAGTGAGTGAAGTTTCATACTCTAGGTCAGTGGCTCCCAACTTTGGGTAAACTTAAGTGTTCTTGGACTGCAATTGCCAGAAGCCTTCACCACCAGCTGTGCTGGCCGGGGTTTTTGGGAGTTGCAGTCCCAAAACACCTGGGTTATCCAAAGTTGGAAACCACTGCTCTAGGGAAAGTATTACTGCCACCACGTGATCAGGTCACTGTTGATCCACTGTTGTAGCAAACACTTCTCTAGTTGCAAGTGTAGCCGAGGAAAAGCCACATACGATGTCTTCCCTTGATTTTATTCTGATGCATTTCTGTGTCACCAGATTTCTTTATCTGTATCCCTTCTTGATGCCTCACAGGAAATGGGCAAAAGAATAAACAATCAAAGGGAAAATAGGTACAATAATGGCTGGTTTTAGCTTTCATGTATTCACTGATACATGACAAAATCATGAACAGTTTACACAGGGAAGCCATTGAAATCCACAAGCATCAACACAACTTCAACCGGAAGGAGGAATGTCTGAAACTCAACAAAACCTGGCTCCCAGCTCTCAAAAACATAGAGTGCAAAAGGTCAACGAACGCCACCCAGCCACAAGGTCAGGGGATTACTGCACACAAAAGACCAGCCTTAATAGGCTTGAGTTCCTCCTCCACTATTAATTGTGTATGTTATTACTATTATTGTTAATTGTATGAGCTATTAATTATATGTATAGAGAATTATAATATCTATATTAATTTTCATTGGCCCATATCTGTCCACCTGTTTCTTGTTCACTAAAGCTTTGTTCAGTATAATAGTCTATTTTTTTAAAAATGGGAGTGAAGCAAAGTAGTCATTTGAGCATTTAGTTATGAACCCCTGTATTCTTTAATTTCATCCTCTACTTTGTGCTGTTATGAATTTATTTATTCAAAAGTATGTTAGTATTGGCTTTACTCCTAAGATACATTGAGCTTAAAGTACAGTCAATAAATAATAAAGAAATAAATAATAATTTTTTTCCTGCCATCTGCAGTCAATTGTGTTTACCCTCCCCAAAGGGTTAGGGGGTCTTTCTGATCAATGTGTGGTTGTGAGGGCTGTAACGGGGAGCTGAAGACAGGAAACTTTGCTTTCTTGATCTTCCTGAAGTCAGCTTCTCTTGGGACTCAAGCCATTGTCTTTTAAGTCTTGTGCAAGAAAGAAGCCTCTGCTTTCTGAGAAGAGATGACTTTACCCCATTAAAATGCCTTTTTGTGCAAATATGGCAGGGGAATCACAAATTTCTTGGCTATTATAAAAAGGGCTCACAGCATGAAAAAGTTTGGGAACCACTGGTTTATAGTACTTCTTAATCATTCTTTTCATGAGGTATTTGTTTTTAAAAATGCCTTGCAGTTGTCCATACTTGAAAGCCTTGTAATACTAAGTAATTGGTTCTTTTAAGTCTTGGTTTCCTTTTTAAACACACAATATAAGGATTTTTCCATTCCTTAAAAAGGGGGTCATTATTATGCAAGATGCCAGTGAAGATCAGGTGTAGGAAACAAAAGGCTCTTCTTAACACTTCAAGTCACCTCTGCTTGCACAAAGGACTGTTGCCTCAGTCAGTCCCTATGTAAGGGGATCTGTCATGGGAAGGTGAATTTGTCATTTGATCTTGAATACTTCTCAGTTCCAAAGCCAGTTAATTTAAAACTCCTGGGAAAGTGAGCAATAGAAAACAGACTCTTTGACTCCAGGTTGGTCCACTACACAAATGAACTGGTGGTATGACAGGGTTGCACTTTGATAAAAAACAGATTTTTAAAAAGTTTGAAAAAAAATTTATGGACCCAAAAATTAGGTCATTTGTTTTGTAGGAAATAATTTTTCCCCTCTAGAAATCTATAAAAAATCCTAACAAGAATGTGCTAACAAATATGGGGGAAAAAACCCAGGAGCTAGAGATTAGATACATTCAATACACATTCCAACCTCAGGTAAAAGAGGTGCCCAAAATGCAGTAACAAGAGGACAATTCCATTAATTTTCCACATCAGCAAAATCATGCTCATGATTTTGTAGCAAAGACTGTGTAAAGTGAGAAATGCAACATGCTCAAGTTGGGATCAGAAAAGGAATTGGATATCATACTGCAAATATACATAGTCTACTGAAGCCTATCAAATAATTTCTCAGTTTGTGCTCTTTAGATTATATCACAGCCTCTGACTGTGTGGATCATGAAAAACGTTGGCATTTTGTAAAATAAATGGGTGTTTCAACAACATTTGATCCTGATGTGCAACCTATACTCTGGACAACAGGCTCTGTAAGGAATGCGGAGAATTATTTCCCATCAGAAAGCTTATTAAAGAAGGGTGCATTTTATCTTCTTACCTGTTCCATCTATATACCTCTTTGTGAAAACTGGATCAGATACAGTTGAAGATGGAGTAAAAATTGATGAAAGAAATATCAAGGATTTTATATATGCCGATGGCACCATAAGCACTGGCACAAAATAGCAATAATTTTGAAATGGTTATTGTCACATTCCCGCCTGTCCCTTGGTTGTTTCAACAATCACAGGGCAAAAGCTACGTGTCGTGTCGCTACCACCAATTGATTACATCAACATTGTTTATTATTAATCACAGAGGTCCAGGCAATGTGTTGTTTTAAAAACGAAGTAGAAATTGTGTATTGTTCCAAGAAATGAAAGTTCAGTCAGTGTTGTTAACTAAACAACCTTCCTTTCTATTCTCTACCGCCTTCCCAAACTCCCTCTCAACTCCAAATTCCCAATCTCCAGTCTACCTTCCTCTCTTCCCCTCCTTCTTCAGCAGAGACTCTTATATCTCGTGACTCTGCCTCTCCAGCACTTTCATTGGTCCATGCAGATAGTACATTAATATTCATGTTTTCGGCAGACGCCACAGTTATTGATGAAAGTTAAAGAAGAAAGTGCAAAAGCAGAATTACAATTGAGCACCAAGAAGACAGAAATGTTAGCAATGAAGAAATCAAAATAGTTATATAATTTTTGTTTATTGGACAAAATTGAGACCATATTAATTGAGACCACATTATAGGTGTATCATGAAAAGAGAAGATCCACTGTAAAAGACAATAATACTGAGAAAAGTTGAAGACAGAAACAGAAGAGGAAGACTGGTCATGAAATGGATTGATGTCGTAAAGGAAGACATGTCTTTAATTTGCAAGATATGAGCTGAGGCAGGGCTATGAATGATAGGGCCTTTTGGAGGTCACTAATTCATAGAATAACCAAAAGTTGGAAGGGACTAGATGGCCTATAGAGAAGAAGAACAACAACATTCTCCAGTATGGGAAAAGGGAGATGATGTCAGGATTCAGTTTTTGTTTCCTGGAACACACTGCATGGAGTGACAGCTGTTCAGTTGTGGCTGTTGCTGGATAGTCAATTTTCCAATTTAAAGCAAATTGTTCTATTTAGTGGGGTTGCAGAGATGTGATCTATTAAGGCTACCCGTAAGTGTTTACAAAGGGGAAATTATTCCTGTGCCTTTGAAAGAGTTTGTGATCCTCTTCTATTCATTCTTTTGGAATGAATAGAACATATTTATGGCTCCCTGCCAGTTACATAAATCACCTGCCCTGTTTCCTGGAGTTCTTTACATTCTTGCGAGCTGTACCAGATGTGTATTGCCCTTTCCAAACAAAGGTTGCTGTTTTTTTTAAGCGGTGTCTGGTGTCTGTAGGAATAGGTTCCTTATTTTTGCTGAGGTGCTTATCAGGCTTTCCTAGCCTGTTTCCCTCCAGGTATGTTGGACTGCAGTTCTCATCATTTGCCCGCCCATGATAGCTGGGAATAAATAGCAGGGTTTTAGTTCAGCAACCTAGAGAGCATTAGGAGATGGGAAGACTAATGTAAATGTTTAAATTAAGCAATTGGAGGAGAAGCAGATACTTGCTGTGTAACACCGATGTATGTATTGTGATTACCTTAAAGTTTGCCTTGTTTCTGTCTGAGCATGTGTAGCAGGAGACCAAGAAATATTAATACCACTTGGGATGCAGCAAAATAAAAAAATTTATGGGTGACTGATTGTTTGTGGTCCTTTTTCACAGGGGCTGGGAGCAGGTAGAAGTGACTTGCACTCCATATCAGAAGGAGACGCCTAATACTCTCTGGAATGTTGAAGACCACATCAATCCCCGGTGTATGTTGACTGAACAAATGGTTTTCTCATGAAAGTGTTTGGATTTCCTTCTCTCCTGTATGTATAGTTTTGAAAAGAGGGAAAGGAGTAAAGGAGTTGAAGCAAACAAGTCAGAACAGGGGTTTCTCAAAAGCCGGATTATTACGTTGATCATACCGTGGTGCCTCGCAAGACGAATTTAATTCATTCCTCAGTTAATGTCGTCTTGTGAAAAATTCGTCTTGTGAAACGCATGTTCCCATAGGAATATATTGAAATATAATTAATGTGTTCCTATGGGCAAAAAAAGTCAGAACAAAGTCAACTTTGGTTTACAAAGGGTTTATTAAGTGCTCTTTAAAGCTATACATATTGTGCAGATGATTTCAAAAATTTCAATCAAAAAACTTGAACTTTTTAAACATCTTAGAAAAACATTTAAAAATCAGCAAACATGAGGCAGGAACATCTGCCTTCACTGAAACTGAACAGAAACATTCACTAACAGTCCTTGGATTGTGCAAAAGTCTTCAAAAAGTGCATTTTCAAGGCATGTAAACATACAGAAACTTTTTTCATTTCACATTTTAAAATGAACAAGTGAGGCTGAAGTCTCTAAACTACCAGGACCAGTGTTTTAAGTCAGGAAACTGTAGGCAGGCAGAACTGTCTCCACATCACAGCAGCAGTCTTTTATGTTCCCAGAGCTGCAGAGGGTCTCTTTGGCGATGGCCTGAACGATGGTCAGCTGGGAGAAGGCTTTAAGGTTTGACCTCAAGGCTTCTGGAGGAGAAGGAGGAAGAAGAAGGCAACTGGGCACTGCTGGTAGAAGCAGCAGGTTCCTCTTCCTGTCTTGGCCTCTTCGTGAGGAACCTCTCCATGGTCAGCTGCTGCTGCCGCCTTTTCAGCATCCCTCTGAAAGGAGACATGATCCTTTCATCATATGTGTTTGAAAGGTCATGTGCCAGAGCCTTGTCCGGGTGGTACCACTCTGCACGTTTTGCCACTGTTCTTAGAGCTCCTTCAGTTTAGTGGTGGGCAGCTGTTCCTTGCCTGGCTCTTCTTCCTCTTCCAAAGAGGCCTGCTGCTCCATAGCCTCTGCCTGCAGTTCAACCAGCTCCTGGGTGGACAGCTCCCAGTTGTGGCCAGCTCCCAGTTGTGGCCCTCCACAAGTTCACAGATGTCCTCCTCTGTGACCTCAAGGCCCATGGTCCTCCCCAAGGCAACAATGTCCCCCATCACTGTTGACTCTGGTACAGGTGCAGAAGCATCAGAGTCACTTGTTGCCACACAATCTGGCCACAGGTTGCACCAAGCAGAATTAAGATTTCTCCGGCTGATCCCGTCCCAGGCTATGGTGATCAACTTCAAGCAGCTGACAACATCGAAGTGGTCCCTCTAGAATTCACGCAGGGTGAGGTTGGTGCAATTGGTCACCTCGAAGCAGCGCCTGAAAAGCTCCTTGGTGTACCATTTCTTGAAATAGGCAATCACCTGCTGATCCATTGGCTGCAGTAGCGGGGTGATGTTAGGTGGCAGGAACACAGACCACACCAAACACAGGATGCGCCCACAACACAGACCACAGTTGCTCTTCTCGAAGTCAGCCTTGGAACTGCATGTGGAAAAGTGAACCCAGGCTGCATTGGGGAGGCTTTTTAAACCTCCCGGCACAATGCACAATGCATCCTGGGTATTAACGGTTGAGATTTAAAACAAAACAAAACAAAACAAAAATGGAAAACATTCATCTTGCAAATCACGACCATAGGAACATTCGTTTTGCGAGTCATCAACCCCATCAGAAAAACCATTTGTCTTGCGAGTTTTTCATCCTGCGAGGCATTCGTCTTGCGAGGCACCACTGTATGTAGAAAGGACAATCTTCTGAATCAGATTCCATGTTTTAAGTGCAAATCAGAAAGGAGTGAGAAGGGGGACAGATGGCCAGTCAAGGTAGTACGTTGCATGGGATTTTGTGTTTTCCACTACAGGTATCTGGATAATGTTGGGATGTATTTTAATGTATATGTTACGATTCTGTGTAATTAACCTATGAGATTCCATTTTACACTGTCTTCTTTTCCATAGTGCCCAATATCAGTTTGGATGTTCTGAAACCTTCCTTTCCAGAGATTCTGCTGGAGTCTCACATGGTTATGATCCGAGTAGGTAGAATGGATTGGATTTCATATTTGTTTGCGTGTTTGAATTTACTCTGCTGAAGCCAAAATTAACCAGTTGGAGACTGTGTCATCTTGGGTCATCTCTGGAAAGAGAAACATCACAAGCTGAGACTCCTGTATCTTTCATTTACACATTTGCTGCTCCCTACTTAAAACCTTTATCAATAGGTTCTCTCTTGTCCTTTAGTTACACTGGTCGGACTGGGAATTAGAATTCCCTAACATTTTAGGGAATGTCAGATGTAAGGAAATGTGGGAATATGAGTTGCTATCATTGCTAATTTTGGACAAATATTTATGTCATTGCAATTATATAAATATTTATGTCATTTCAATTATATAAGGCAGATATTTATTTTAGTTGGCCTAATAAAGGAATGGTTCTACAGGTTTTTAAAATTCTTTGTTAGTTTGCTATGGACTATAGTTTTAAGCCATAATTCCTTATTGTAACAAATCAGGAATCTACTAAAGTGAAACTAAGTTCCCCCCTCTTCCTTTTTCATGGGAGAAAGAAGGAGGATGGGGAGGAGGTGTCTAATATTTCACTAAGGCTCTTTTATATACCACAGTTTAGCATTGATATGCTAAGCTTTACTTTAGTTTACATGCGAATCCACTTACTGTACAGGATTTTGGGGATAATTCTGTTTCACTCAATATTTTCTTTTTACGGTTGAAGCAAAGCTGATGAATTTAACTCAACCGCCCTGCCCCTGTACATTATTAACAGTAAAGAACCACTGGGTCAGTAAAGAACTATCATATAGACATGTCTCTCTGAGGAATCTTTGAGTTATTCTAACACTAGTCATACTTCAAATTCTGTTTTGGTATTATAAGACTCTTAACACATACCTGTTAGTTTTTGTGTGATGCTAGTTAATGTCCTGAGAACTGCTTTTGTGGATCAGATCAAAAGTCCATCAACGACCAAAATGCTGTTTCCAGTGGTCGCCTGAGAAGGTCCTTCCCCAGCAAGCTCGTAAACAGGATGATGATGTAGATAACTATCTCTTGTCTTGTTTCTTCTAAGACTGAGGCTTTCTAGAGAGAGCACACATCTGTTAGTTGCAGTCCAAAACTCCTGAGTAACCCAAGGTTAAGAACCAGTGATGTAGATAACCATCTCTTGTCTTGTTTCTTCTAAGACCGAGGCTTTCTAGAGAGAGCACACATCTGTTTTATGAGAAGCTATGGTGCGACCTACATTTCCAATGATTCTAGCTTTTATTTTTTGTAGGGAAACAGTGGCCTCAAGCCAAAGGAGAATGAAGTCACATCTAAACCTTGGCACTGGCCCATCAATTATCAGGTATGTGGGATCAACTGACTTTCTGAAGGTATAACCTTTTTGATTTCATGTTTTATCTCCTTTTTTTAACTGAACAGGATAAAGAACTGCTTTCTGCAGCATTCATTTTTACATGGCTTCTGCAATAAAAGGGAAAAAAGCCTTGGCTGATGTTTTTCCTTCTGTGGCTCTTGCTGCGTACGCCTGTGTTACGTACTCAGGGGCCACTCGATAAGCAGATGCTACTGGACTATTGGACAGTGTTATATGGCTGCCCAGTTGTAAAGATTGTAGATAGATCAAAGGGAGCCTGTGATAAGTCCACAGAAAACAATAGCCAAAATCTTCTTGCGTAGCTACACAAAAACGTAACTTTTAGAGGCAAATTGCCTCAAGTAAGAAATCTTGATAGGTATTATCTATTGCATGCTGAGTTATGTCACTCAGTGCAACAAATGATGTCTACAGAGATTTCTTAAATTGAATCAATTCACTTCTGACAGTCATGCCATTTGCATTATGCCAGTGTAACTATGCAAGAGGGTTTCATCCTGTATCTCTGAAAATAACTATATTAGCTCAATTGCTCAGAGACACAAGAAACAATACTGTCTTTTAACATAAAGTCTTTATGAAAACCTCAGATTTAAGAGGAAAATGAAAGCTGAATATCAATAACATGGAATTCTTCTTACAAAAACATTGATTTCTCTATAGGGCCTCCGTTTTTCTGGAGTCAATGAAACAGATTATAGAGTTTATTTACTGGGAAACCCGGTAAGTAGAAGAATTTGGCTTTGATTCGTCCGTGTTTGACTTTGTCTGTTCAGTTTATTTTTTGTGTTCATTAAAGAAGTACCCCTCTGATATTTCCTTCAACTCCATTTCCAATAGCTTCCCTATTATTTTGGTTCCTTTTATGTATCATTTTCTACCTATAAGACTTTCTCTCACAGGTGATTTGGTGGATAAACTTAATCACTATTGGATTGTACGTTGTAATGGCAACATTTGTCTCCATGGCTATAAAGAGGGGAGTTCAGCTGACAACTGAGCACAAAGGTAGTGTGAATTATCCACCTGTTTTGTCCTCAACCTTTCCTTGACTTTTATAGCCTCCTGATGAAGGAATGTTTACTATCCGAGGTTTCGGAAGATAGACCTTGAGTGTGTGGCATCCGAAAGAGCGTGATAACATTTGGTGGCACCTCAGAGTCACAAATTATTCTTTCCATTGTGTTATGGGGCTTCTTGAAATTACTGCAAAAAGTTGATTATCATCTAAAACAAGCCTCCAGGGTAATGTGGGGAAGGTAACAGTTAGAAGTGGTGATTCATTTGTGGAAAAAAAATTATTTACATTCATGTACAGTGGTGCCTCGCATAACGAGCGCCCCGTAGAGCGATGAATTCGCTCTACGGGGACATTTTTTCGATCACTAATGCGATCGCAGAGCGACGGCCCCAGTGGGCGAAAATCGCAGAGCAAAGGTCAGTAAGCGGTTTGCTTACCGACCTTCGCTTTGCGACCCGCCGATCAGCTGTTGTAAATATGGACCATACAGTATTTCCTTCAGAGGAATTTAGGAAATATGTGGGGAGCACTGATGTTAAGATCAGCAAAGAAAATGCAACTTTTGAGTGTCATATGCTCAGTAAGTGTGCTGTGTTTCTGTTATTTTCTTCACTCCTGTTCAATGCTTGCTGAGACAAGAAAAATGACTAGAGAGAGGTCCCTTCTCAGAGTTTATATCCTTGCAGTTTTGGAACACTTGATTAGGTAGCTCACTTTTGGGATTAGCAATCCTGTTGACTGTTAGACTGGATGGTAACCTTCTGCTGGGGCATTAAGATAGTATTTGTTCCATTTATAATGCACCATGGTTCTATTACATTTCCATCCAATAGTATTAAAAATCTGAGACTGTAATTTGCAAAGAATGAATGAGAAGTCATTGTAGAAATACAGACCAGAATGCTCCTTTCAAACTCTATTGAGAGCTTCTTAGGTAGCTCAGGTGGTCACAATATATTGTTTTTGCATGAGCCCTTGATATTTACTAAAGAAACAGCTTTGTTTACTTAGCTTTTCATGATGGGTTGAGGAGTAGCAGTAGTTTGCTTATCCTGTGTTTGCTTAGAATTGTAGCAATTGCTAACATGCATACTGGAATAGACTCGGTTATTGACAGCATAATCTGTTTACCCTGGTAGTAACATATTATTCGTGCATTTGTCGGCAATCCTCTTCTCCACAAGCCTTGCTTAATTACCAGAGCATTGTAATATACACTTTATTAAACTGGATCTATGCTGGAAACATGGTACAAACAAATGTTGACACAGTTTTGGGTTAGGAAAGGAGGAATACAGGAAATATGTTCAGTGACCAGGACCTCAGTTTTATGCATGTGTTTTGTATTTCAGAGCTTTCTCAAGTCCTGTTGTATGGTGGAGGAAGAATTATGTTGGGATGGCTGCTCCATTACTTTCCCTTCTTCATGATGGGCAGAGTGCTCTACTTTCATCATTACTTCCCTGCCATGCTTTTTTCCATGATGCTGACAGGTATGTTTCTCAAAATTTTCACATAGCAGGAAGTATATTGGTGGGCATTTTAAAAAGCTGTGATAGATAAGACTGCAGTTTTTAAAGATGTAAGGGGATCACTGCATTACCATTGAATTATATTTCATTTAGTGGTGGTGCTTTGACAATTCCCAGTAGACATGGGCTATTTGTATTCCTATCCCTGGGGATAGAAATATGAATAACAGCACCACAGGTGCCATGGAGACCTATTCCCTTCCCCCAGAACTGGTTGGTCTACTCACTGTTCTCAGCGCAGTGCCTGGATCCATTGCCAGCTAGCTGTTCCCTGCCTCCCCATGCAGCTGACCATTGCAATATGGACATGGGACAGGGAATCTCCCTGCTCAGCTGATGATTGTCTGGCTGGGCAGGGAGGCAGAGAAGAGCTGGCCAGGCTCCCTCTGTGATTGGTGCATTGACAATGACAGTGGAGCCAAGCTCTGCAGGGTGAATGCTATGTGGATGGGCCAGTTCTGGGGGGAGGGAATGGGCCCCTGTGGCACCTGTATGGGATACAAATACAAATAACCCATGTCTAATTCCCAGTAAACAACTGCAAGGTCAGTAATCAAGACTTGGATGTGGGAGGTCTGGATTCAAAGCACCAGCTCTTATTGCCTTAGCCTTCGGTAGCTTAGTCTCCTATCCTCATTTCCCTATCTGTAAAACAGATAAAAGATGGGCTACCTTAAAAGGCTGAAGTAAAGTTGAGCAAGGTAAGCATTCTAAAGCAACGTGCCCTCTCAAAAGTGCTGTGATGATGTCCATCTCTATTTTGAAATACTTTATATTTAGCTGCTTATATTAAGTATATTGGTGGACATTTTTTTAAAAAAGGTCTGAAATATTCCTGTATCTGGCATTGATGGATACTCTTAAGCAGCTGTAGTTGTTTCTATTCGTCACTTCATTGTGCATCTTGCAAGCCACTGTCTATTATAATAAAGAATATCTCTGACATTAATTTGAAGATTTCTCTTTTTGAGAGAGATAATTTCAGGAGGGAACATTAGGAGGTAATAAAAATATATAACATACAAGATTTTAGTATTTTGTGTTTCTTTTTGATGAAATTAATGTGTCCTGTTTGGTAAAATAAAGACTATGTATTCAGTTTCTGCCATTAGAATGCATATTAGAAACTCACCATGGGAAAATGCCTTCATCGAGAAACAGAATTGTGCTTGCCATTTATCTTGGCCTTTTTGTAATAAATACAGTGGTGCCTCGCATAGCGATCGCTCCGCATAGCGAAGAAATCACTTTGCGGCACTTGTTTTTAGTGTATAAAAATAGAAGCTGCCAGGTCTTGTATTGCAGTTCTTCAGTGGGTCTATAGAGCCTAAAAGGCAACAAGACTACAATTCCTAGAAAGTACTGTGACAGTTTCCATTTTTGTACATGAACAACAGGAAATAGGTCTGAGACAGGCGTGGGGTCTCCAACACAGGCCTTGCTGCTGGTGAGCAAAATGTAGGTATCTGAAAGTCTGTGTAGTTATGTGGAATTCTGCCTGGGGAATTCTTGAAGAGTTCTGGGAGGTGAAGTCCAAAAAAAAGTCATGGCATATCCCTAGTTGCACATATTGATGTTTGCATGCATCTTTCAAGTACTAATATACCTGACTGATCCCTTTCTTCTTTCTTCATAAGGGATTACTTGGGATGTATTCCTGAAATTCTGTGCTGGGCCTCTTTCAGCCAATAATCGAAGAAGGAAGGTTTATAATTATGGGATAGCACTGTTGATCTTGCTCAGTATGTACAGGTGAGAGTTGATTCCTGAGGTAGTCACACACATATGAGAATTATTATTTTTGTTGTTGTTGTTAAAAGCTTGATCATGTAATGACATTTCATATGCCAAGTGGTTTTATGAAGCATCTTGAAGAGGTACTGAAGGAATGTTAAAAAAAATTATCCAGAAGCTGCATGAGAATGTTCTCATAAAACCCTGTTATTTTAGTATTGGGGCCAGGGACAAGTTACTTACATGGCAACTGAATCATTTCTTGGTCATATGAATGACCTTTAACTAGTACTACCTTTCATTCATGTTCCCCTTCAAGCTCCCTCTTCAGAAAGGTCTTAATAGAGTGAAATAAGCCTTTCTTTTGTAATTCCTCATTATCTTTAACCACCGCATTCAGTAGACAATACATATGAATGAACTCTTCTATACCTTGGAAAGGTCTGTAAAATCCTAGTCACTGCTATAATCAGGTAATTCAGAGATTTTGAAAGGTATTCTCAGCTTGTCCTGAGGCAGAAATGGTGAATATGTGGCTTTCCAGTTGTTTACTGAAATGTCCATCAGCCATCACCTGTAGTAAGAGATGATGGTAACTAGTCCAGTAGCATTTTGAAGGCTGTACTTCTTCCTGTCTGTTTGGGATGCTGAGATTAACTGTTGTGACATTAGGTCTCTGGGATTTTGATTCAAATTTAGATCTTTTCCCACAGCTTCTACCTCTTCCATCCTCTCTCCTATGGAATGGTAGGACCTCTGGCTTCTGATCCCATTAGCCCAATGGCAGGGCTCAGATGGCTGGAGACATGGGAGTTTTAGATCCAGTCTGAAAGAAGATGGAGATAGAACAGAAGAACAGAAGTGGTGAAACCATCCCAGAGTCTGCTTCCCAACTGCTTTTCTGTGCTGACTCAGTTGACTATTTACCATGCACTTTAAGAAAGAGAGGAGACATCCACAAGGAAGAACCTCTCCTGTGGGGCCTTGGACTCCAGTTACTTGACTTAACTTCTACTTTAATGTTCAAGCCAACCAAGCAATATATTGTGTGTCGAGCAGCTATAGCTTCCACAGGAGTGTCATGTTTTGGGTCAGACTGAGGATGCATGTGTTTTGCAGAGGTGTAGCCTATGTCTGCCTCTATCTTCTCATGTGTGATTAGAGAGAGCACAGGAAAGATTAAGCGTGTGTAGAGAGAAAACAAATCTTTAAAAATCAGGGTAGTTTACATCCATTTATTTGGTAATGTTTTAGAAGTTATATGTGTGTACAGACATGTTTGTGTTCCTAGGAGAATTCCACAGCTGCTGCTCTGTACTTCAGAAACTTGAACTTAAATGTTTCAGTAGCTTGAGGTCTTCTGGGATTTGTACCTTGCTTGTCCTTCAGACAAGAGGCAATGAATTGTCCATATTTTTGAATAATGCCTGTGCTCTCTGAGCACAGATGACAACTTATAGGAGCCTTACACGTGTAGGTGGCTTACATCAAATGGGGATGAAGTCATGACTTTCCCAGCATTACACTGCTTCTTTGTTCAAAAAATTCTAAAGCAGAAACAGCTGCTAATTTTTAAATTTTTGTATGTTTCCCACCCTATGTTTCTTTGATGGGGAAGTATGGTGCCTTGGGAGGGATGCAAAAATTACATAAGCGGCCAAACCTGATTCTGGGAACTGTCATATTGTTTCCCACTAATCATTCTTCCCATTGGGAAGCTGCTATCTTGCTAATCAATGTGTAGAGTAGGAAGAAGAGGCCACTAAGTCTGAAATACTGGGTCAGTGATACTTTATTAAATGCATATTACTCTTGAAGATAAATTAAACCTCTTTGATGTGGTCAGCTGTCTGGAAAAAGTGAGTTCAGAAGAAAACTCTTCAGTTCATTCCACTTCTGGTGGGAAGAAGGGTGAGCTGTTAACTATAGTTTTCCAGAGCAACTTTGGATTCAGCTTCAGTTACACAGCATCCTTGAAGCCTCTTTTGTCAATGAAATGGAGGCCATGCAAGAGTTCATTTTAGCATCTGTATTAAAGCTTCCTATTCCATTTGTATCATCCATCACCACAGAGCTCTTTCTGTTGGCATGGAGACTAAATGCCAACGACCTCAGGAGAGGCTGGACTGTTGTGATGTATGTTGACTGTTGGAGACTCAGGCAGCTAGATTCAGTAAGGGAGAGGAAATGCAAGACTATCGTTGGCTAGGTTGTCTTAATTAGTTTTAGAGTGCCATGATCAGTTTCTTGAATCAGTTTCAGAATAGCAAAAGTGAGAGTGGGGCATTCCTCCCTCTCTAGTGCAGTTCTCTCTTTGCCCCCAGAGTAGCTCTAGAGGGCTGGGAAATTCTCTGGAGCAGGTTTATAGGTAGCACACTGTAAAGTTGCAATGAAAAAGTGGGGAAGAGCATTCCAAAAATTGTGACCGTGGAATGCTGAATTTAGTTCTGTAGCAGTATAAAGGTTCCCAGACTTTAATGTGTACCTCTGTTGTTCACAACTATTGCAAATCACTGCAGTGAGATTCTGATTTTGATAGACTTACTATTTCATGAAGCAGGAAGAACCCTCTCTGTTAGCTGACTTCAACCATCAGAGATCATACATAAAGAAAAAAGACTGCTTTATTAGTATATAATGGGATATTGGAAAGTAAACACAATCAGGATATTGGGAAAATCAAGCAGCTTCAGACTTACTAGTCTAGTGTGCTGTCACTTAGAACAATGTCTGAACATTTTACTTCTGGTCTGTCTGATAGTAGGTTTTAGTCAATATTGCTGGATCGCCTTTTTAACACTTGTAGTACCAATTACAGAGCGAATGTGTAGATCCTGTAGGGCAAAGCCATGGTCCTGAGTTATTGTGATGGAACATGCATTTGTTGGGTACTTGTATGTTCCTTAGCTAGGGAACTCGTGGTCTTCCATTTGGTAGTGAGTGTTATGGACATTACTGGTGTTCCTAGTCCATCATAGCTTTCTATCCATCTGTTCCTGTCTTACCTGGGCTTTGACATCTTGGCTTAATAAATTGTTTCTGTCATGTAGAATAAGTTAACAGCAGCCCATCAGTGTTTTGGGAATCTGATCCCTCTTCTTTCAAAACTCTCAGAATATTTGATGCAGAAGAGACAAGAGATCACATTACCTTTGGCTCTGCAAATATAATTTATACAAGGGTTTTTATATGATCATTCATTTCCCTACCCATGACTACATCAATATGGCCTAGGTTCAGGATACAAAAGCCAAATTTGCATATTTAAATAAATTCTAGAACCCCTTCTTCTCCTCCCACCGCAGTGATCTTGCTGGAGTGCTAAGAATTCTATCATGGTGAAAAGTGTGGCTAAATAAAATGTGTGTTTCAAGGAATTTTGAGAATTTTGCTTCTTTCCTTTTATACTAATGTAGGGAAACAATTAGGATTCTAAAACAGATGTGGACAAGGAATACATATGTATAATGCGGGACTTTGGATGGGCAAACCTATTTCTGTGCCCTGCCCATCCCTCCAAAATATTTTTCGTTGAGAAGCTTTTACTGAAAAAAACATAAAGAAATAAAACAGTTGTGCTCTAGTTGCAAAGTAAGTCACTTTTTAAAACTTTTCTAGAGGTGTGCCCTAACAGACATGACAAAATTGTGTGGATATGTTTATTATAATATTAGAATTGCATATACAGTAAATTGTCTCTCATGTCCCCTAGTGGGCACAAGTGGCATTTTGAACAAAACATTAAGGGACGGGCTGCATTACCCCTGTTCTACAACACTCCTAGGAAATAAGAAAGGGAAAATCAGTAATAAAAACAATCTCTTTGGTCTGAGATGGCCCTATGATAGCTCTCTCCCTAGACACTGTCCTAAATAGGCTTCTTATGATGTCTGTTAGGTTCTAGAACTTCATGTCCAGTGTGAGACAGACTATTGTTAAACAAACAATTGTGCTTTTATTTATGCAGTATCTTAATTAGGAAGCATGCAGGATTATATTATTCATTCCGAAATATAGAATCATAGACTAATGGTGTTGTAAAGAGCCTGTACAGCCAGTGAGTCCAACCCCCTGCTCAATGCAGGATGGTTATCCAATTTTTTTTCCTCTTGAATGCCTCCAGCATTAGAATGCTCATCACCTCCTAAGGTGATTGTTTCCATTGCTGTACTACTCTAATAGTTAAGATTTTTTTCCTGGTATCATGTGGTACAGACCTTCTTGAAGGATCACATATTTGAATTTTTTCCACATAAAAAAAAATGAAGCCACCATGGCACGTTGACTTGGCTTAATCCTATTTCCATGATATGGTAACTTTTCACAAGTATAAACTTTGTGATATGGAGGAACATTCATGCAATCGCACCTGTTCTGAAGTGAGGCCTGTGTCCATTTGGGGGCAAATGTGCTGCAAAACAGTCTGTTCTGGGTTCAATTCTCAAAGGAGTATTTAGCAACACTTTGCATGAATGGAGATTTCCTTCTGCCCATGGAGCCTTTGCTTACCATGTTTCCAGCAGAAAACCAGCATACGTATATTATTTCTGGATCTATAACTTGGTGGCTTCAAATAAATGATGTAGACTCTGCCTTAGGCAACAGTGGCTGAATTCTGTTGCTAAGTGTAGTAAATTGCAACTAGAATAGGCCTATTGAATCAGCAGTTATTTGGTGAGTCAATCCTCTGTAAGTTCTATTGATTCAGTGTGGCTACTGTAGTTATGACTTGCTATATTAGGCAATAGGATTTCAGCCAGTGTGTCTCCAAAAACATAACAGTTGTCTACCTAAGCAGTAGGCAACATTCTGCATCATGAATTGTTCTTACTAATGCTGCTAATATTGAGTGTGAGAGTGAGTGAGTGTGTCTTTTGTACATGACTACCGTCTGTATTTTTAAGTGAACATATTTCATTGCTCTGCAATGTAGATGATACTAAATAAAAGAAAGCTGCCTTTAGACTGGCACTGTGTTTTGTAAAGATATTAATTGAAAATAAGATGGAATTTTTACTTTTTTAATAAATAGGTTTTCTTTCAAATGTCTTCTTCAATTGTGCATTTTTTAATTTCTCTGACCATAGCACTGACATGAAGATATGAGATCAATTAACGCAGATATGTCATCCTACCTCATGACCCCAACTGGGTTTCTCCAGTGTCACCACTGACAGCTTACCTTAGCCCAAAGAGTGGACAGGTGAAACATTTCCCACACACACTTCAGGACAATTGTTTAGCATAGTTTGGAGGGCCAAAGTTTGATGGCGAAGGTAAGAGCAGATCTCTTAAAATGTAAATCAATCAAATTAAAAAACAACATTAATGTAATTCAGCTCCACTTTTTCCTCCTATTCCACTTATGCTCAGTTCTGCTCTGCTCCACTCAGCTAAAAGTCAATACCCCTCCAAGTTTTTTTTATATTGAAAAAGCCTCAAGGATGGATTCTGCCATCCAGAAAACTTTGTTATGTGCCTTCAGGTCACCTCCAGCTTAATGGCAATTCTATGAATGAATTATCTCCAAAATGTTCTGTCCTCAAATAACCCTACTCAGCTCATGCAGACTCAAGCCTGTGGCTTCCTTTAGGGAGTCAGCCAATCTCATATTTGGTCTTCCTCTTTCCCTACTAGAGGGACGTGGTGGCGCTGCGGGTTAAACTGCAGAAGCCTCTGTGCTGTAAGGTCTGTAGATCTTCAGTTGTAAGATCGAATCCACATGACAGAGTGAGTGCCCATTACTTGAACCAGCTCCCGCCAACCTAGCGGTTCGAAAGCATGCAAAATGTAAGTAGATAAATAGGGACTATCTTGGTGGGAAGGTAACAGCATTCCGTGTCTAAGTCGCACTGGCCATGTGACCATGGAAGATTGTCTTCGGACAAATGCTGGCTCTATGGATTGGAAATGGGGATAAGCACCGCCCCCTAGAGTCAAACACGACTGGGCAAAAATTGTCAAGGGGAACCTTAGCCTTTACCTTTACCTTACCTTTCCCTACTGCCTTATACTTCTCTCATCATTATTGCCCTTTCTGGAGAATCCTGCCTTCTCATGATGTGCTCAAAGTAGGACAGCCTCAGCTTCAACATTTTTATCTCCAGAGATAGTTCAGGCTTGACTTGATCTAGGACCCACTTGATTGTCCTTCTTGTTGTCCATGATGTATACTCAAAGGTCTCCTCGAGCACCACGTTTCAAACAAATTAATTTTCTTCCTGTCAGCTTTCTTAACTCTCCAGCTTTCACACCCATAAATGATGATCAGAAATACCAGAGTTTGGATGATCTTGGCCTTGTTCTCTAATGACACGTTCTTACACTTGATGATCTTTTCTAGTCACCATGATGTATACTCAAAGGTCTCCTCCAGCACCACGTTTCAAACAAATTAATTTTCTTCCTGTCAGCTTTCTTAACTCTCCAGCTTTCACACCCATAAATGATGATCAGAAATACCAGAGTTTGGATGATCTTGGCCTTGTTCTCTAATGACACGTTCTTACACTTGATGATCTTTTCTAGTCCCAGAGTATGGATGATCTTGGCATTGTTCTCTAATGACATGTTCTTACACTTGATGATCTTTTCTAGTCCCTTCACTGCTTCTCTTCCTAGTCTCAGTCTAGTTCTGATTTTGTGGCTGCAGGGGCCATTAGGATTGATGATTGAACTAAGGTATACAAAATCTGTAACTATTTCAATTTTTTCATTGTCAGTGTTAAAGTTGTGTAGTTCTTCTGTAGTCATGATTTTTGTCTTTTTCATGTTCAATTGTAGTCCTGTTTGTAGTCCGGCACTTTCTTCTTTCACTTTCCCTAACAGTTGTTTCATTGCTGCTTTCTGCCAGTAAGAAGGTATCATCTGCATTCCTTACATTACTTATGTTTCCTCCCTCAATTTTCACTCTCCTTCATCTGTATCTACTCTGGCATTTCGTAGGGTATACGTTCTGCTTACAGATTGAACAGATAAGTGGATAAAATACACCCTGGTCGGACACCTTTGCCTAAAGGAAACCATTCTGTCTCTCCATACTCTGTCCTCACAGTAGCTTCTTGACCACAATACAAATTACACATCAGGAAAATCAAGTGCTGAGGCATATCTGTTTCTTTCAGAAAAACCCATAGTTTCTCATGATCTACACAGTCAAAAGTTTTGCTGTAGTCTATAACGGAGACTGAGCTTCTGAAAATCTTTGTTGTGCTCTAATAGCCATTGAATATTTGAAATGTGATCTCAAGTGCCTTTTCAAAATCCAACTTGAACACTAGGCATAATGACCCTTAATCCTTTTCAAGTACCTCTCTTGACAAAAGACAGATAATTGATTACTCTCCTGGATAAGCTCTTTTCCCTCTGTTTACACAATACATTCTGAGGCAAAGAAATTGAGGTCTTCTGTCAGTGCTGTATTTCAAAGAACTCTCTAAAGCTATTTCTAAGGTTATCCACACAGTATTCTTAGGCAATTCTCTTTGAAGTGGTTATTTACCAACATTTCTCAATCTCTTCGTGGTTTGGCTCAGATCAGGCATCTCACAATCACAAGTCAAATCAATAAACATTCATAGTTCATGTTTCTCATATCTCAGTCTCTTGACAGGAACAGACTTTGTTCCACCCACTCAGACCTATCCTTTCAATAGCTAATGATAATGTCAGTGGCAAAATTGTGTAGAAAAATCTCTTTCTATTGGGATGGACTATTTGTTGATTATAGGGTGGTGTTTGCCTAGCAGGTCAGCAAAAGTATAGCATGAGCTGTTTAATGGGTAAGTGGTATGATAGAGTCCATTTCTAAAACTGAAAGGATTTGTAACAGTTCAGTCTCCTCCAGATCCTGATTAAGCATATACATATACCACTGACAGTTGCAAGCAATCAGCCCCCTGGTTTGATAGTTTTCACCAAAATCTGAGCATCATTTAGCAAGGTGTGGCTCATTGCCTCTTTCACTTCTCCATGTTCCTCATTGAATTAGTGAAGGCACTGAAATGAGGACTCATGAGAGTTTTGTCCATTGAGGACAATCAAGAATGGTAGCCTCTATTCAGAAGGAAAAACGTCTGAAGAATGGCATATTTTGGCAGTAGTACAAAAGCACATCAAAGAACTTTTGGAAGAAAAAGCAAAGGGTAGACAAGTACTTGCTTACGCTTCTCAACAAAACCAGTGGCATTTCCTTGCATCTAACACTAGATATCTTGTTCCCCAGTGCATGGTACAGGGTATACAATTACCACAGAAATGTATGTGATATTAGGGTTGAGTAACAGTTGTTGTTGGGATGCGGAGGCGCTGCGGGTTAAACAGCAGAAGCCTCTGCTGCAAGGTCAGAAGACCAGCAGTTGTAAGATTGAATCCACGCGACGTAGTGAGCTCCTGTCGCTTGTCCCAGCTCCTGCCATCCCAGCAGTTTGAAAGCATGTAAATGCAAGTAGATAAATAGGGACCACCACGGTGGGAAGGTAACGATGTTCTGTGTCTAGTCGCGCTGACCACGTGACCACGGAAACTGTCTATGGACAAACACTGGCTCTATGGCATGGAAACAGGGATGAACACCGTGCCCTAGAGTTGGACATGACTGGACTAAATGTCAAGGACAACCCTTAACTTTACCTAACAGTTGTTGTTATACAAGAACTTATGGAACAAGAAGCAGTTTTGAAGTATTTCGAGTATTAGAATTTGCCAGAAAAAGTGATGCATACGGAGGAGTCCCTGGTCCTGCACAATCCCTCTCTGTTAGCTGTACTTGCTAGGGTGGCTTGGAGTTGCAATCCAAACTACATCTGGAGGGCCAGATGTGGCCCACCCCTGACCTTTGTTGTTGTTATTTAGTCATTTAGTCGTGTCTGACTCTTTGTGACCCCATGGACCAGAGCATGCCAGGCCCTTCTGTCTTCCACTGCCTCCCGGAGTTGGGTTGTCCATCTGCAGTGATCATGGAGCTCAAGAAAGTGAAATCTGTCACTGCCTTCATGTCTTCCCCTTCTATTTGCCAGGAGGCGATGGGACAAGTGGCCATGATCTTAGTTTTTTTTATGTTGAGCTTCAGACTGTTTCTTGCACTCTCCTCTTTCACCCTCATTACAAGGTTCCTTAATTCCTCCTCACTTTCTGCCAGCAGAGTGGTATCATCTGCATATCAGAGGTTGTTGATATTTCTTCCAGCAATCTTAACTCTGGCTTGGGATTCCCCCAGTCTGGCCTTTCTCATGATGTATTCTGCATATAAGTTAAATAAGCAGGGGACAATATACAGCCTTGTCGTTCTCATTTCCCAATTTTGAACCAATCAGTGTTTCCGTATCAAGTTCTAACTGTTGCTTCCTGTCCCACATATAGGTTTCTCAGGAGGTAGATAAAGTGATCAGGCAGTCTCATTTTTTTAAGAACTTGCCATAGTTTGCTGTGGTCCACACAGTAAAAAACCTTTTGCCTAGTCAATAAAGCAGAAGTAGATATTTTTCTGGAACTCTCTGGCTTTCTCCATAATCCAGCGCATATTAACAATTTGGTCCCTAGTCCCTCTGCCCCTTCGAAATCCAGCTTGTACTTCTGGGAGTTCTCGGTTCACATACTGCTGAAGCCTGCCTTGGAGGATTTTGAGCATAACCTTGCTAGCGTGGGAAATGAGTGCAATTGTATGGTAGTTGGAGGATTCTTTGGCACTGCCCTTCTT